GGACGCCAGAGCTGAACCCAGTGAGCAGCAGGCGCTGCTGGGAGTAGATACGGAGCTAGGGCTTGCATCTTCAGTTCGCAGGAAGAAAGGAGCCGGGGAAACCCTGGCTGGCTTTCTCAGCTGCACTTAACAGTGCCTGAGTATTTTTGTACCTGGATCACTGACTCCAAGCTTCCTCTAAACCAGGAGTTCTCAACCTTCCTAATACTGAGACATTTAACACAGTTCTTCATGTCGGGGTGGTCCCCAACCATAACATTATTTTTGTTGTGACTTCATAGCTGTAATTTTGCTACTCTTAGGAACTGTAATGTAAATGTCTGATATGTGACCTCAAAGAGTCACGACTCACAGGTTGAGAACCACAGCTAAACACATTCCCTTTCCTACAGGTAAGATCTGTGCTTCACAGACTTCACATAATTAGAATGCTGGCATTTGCTTTACATATGTCTGCATGTATATGTGTACACACACATTATTTACATATACACACATAAGCATGTATCCCCGTGCATCTGCTTACTGGGTTGTGCATGTCTTTCTGCTTTGTAGGGAATATGTCTTTGTTTTTGTTTGTACTGTTTCTTATGTTCTTTGTTTTTGCTATCCTCCCTACTTAAATAAAATTTCCAGTTGACTCCATCAGAGTGTAAAAACCCAAGGGTACTAGGCTCTAAGAGCAAAATATTTGTCAAAAAAGTATAAGACAGATTCATCTATGGGGAGAGACTAAGCAATGTTTCCTAAAGGCAATATACCTATTGACAAATTCGTTTTAAAATGTAGTATCATTGTTGAGTTTTGAAAAGCTGCGTGTATATGTGTGTCTGTGTATAGGTACATGCGTGTATATGTGTGTCCGTGTAGGTGCATGCGTGTATATGTGTGTCTGTGTGCAGGTATATGCATATATATGTGTGTCCGTGTAGGTGCATGCGTGTATATGTGTGTCTGTGTGCAGGTATATGCGTGTATATGTGTGTCTGTGTATAGATACATGCGTGTGAGTGCAGGAGCCACAGAGTACAGAAAACAGCACCAGAGCCCCGGCGGCTGTGGGCCACCTGCCACGGGTCCTGGAAGCAAACGAGGGTTCTCGAGAGGAGCCATGAGTGCTCTTAACCACTGAGCTTTCTCCCCAGATCCCTCATTGTTGAGTTGTTTATTTGTTTTTGTTTTTTTGAGACAGGATTTTGTTGTTGGGTTTTTGCATTCGTTTAAGTGATATGTCTTTTATTATTTCTGTTCCTATTGGATTTTTTAAAGAATAAAACAAACAAAACAAAACACAAAACACTCCAAACTAGTTTTTCTCATTGTAGAAATGACCAAGTCCAGGACTAGGTGAGGGAAAACACAAGATTTACCCGCACTGTCTTTATGTGCCAGAAGGAAGAACACACACAGAATGGTGGAGGCTTCCAGGAAGATCACAGGAACTAGCTACAGGGTATTCCTGTGAAGGCCAAATCAGGGTCATTAAGAATCAAAATAATTATCAAGAACAGGAGTTAGCAACCTGACTAAAACAAAGCTAAAACAATGTAAATAAAGAAGGAAGAAGGAAGGCTTTTATGCCGCAATAAACTATAAATTTTTAAGCGTAGAAAAAGCAATGGCTTAGAAAAATCTCCATTTGGCAGCCATACATGTACTAAAGTTGGTGGAACAAGTAGCAGCATGCACGTGCTCACACTCACACGCACATGGACTCGGAACATTGCCTAGAAACACAAGTTGGCCTTCCCATGATTCATTGGTATCCCTGTTGATTTCCGACGACTGTCCCAGGGCTTCCCTACTCCTGCCTTCTCCAACTCCTTGCTGGGGCTCACGTTCCTCGTCCTCCACCATCAAGGAAGGCCACACCGCTGGGCAGAGTCCCCCACAGATTGCCCCGACCTCCTTTCCTCCTTCTTCATTGTAAGAACCTTTGTGACATCGCAGACGCCATGTGATAATGCCCAGATAACCCAAGGCACGTTCCTATCAACTTAATTACCTCAGTGATTTCAATTCCTCTCTGCCAGGTAACCTCAGGCACTCACGGATCCAAGGGGTTAAGATGAGGGCACCTTTGTGGAACGTCCTTGTGCCTGGTGACATCTGAATAATGCGTGCAGATTAAATGGAATTTAATTAATTAATGCAGAGTCTATGCCAGTGTCCCCATTCTAACAATTCTGCTGGATTTATACGAGAATTGCTGTCACTGGGCAACATGCAGAGAAGTGTTGGATTTTGTGCTCTCAAATGATTCTGTTTTTCTTTCTCAAAGAATGCTTGAGAAATTGAAAGTACTGAAAAGGGAGGGTTAGGGCAAAGTGAGGTGTTAACATTTGGGGATTCCGAGAAGTCTGGCATTTGGAGGGTTTATCTCATTTAACATTTTTCTCTAAGTCCATAATAGAAAGTTTTAAAAGCTTAGTCTTTCCTAAGTTAATTTTCTATATCTTATGAATACTTAACAAATCCCTGCATATTGTGACTGACACTGATATTTGGATGAAAAATTTTAAAACCTCATTTGGAAGTTCAGGGCATTTCAACACGTTGCAAAATAGACATTATATGTGATCTATAGTAACAAGCTATGCATTGGGAAATGGGCGGAAAATCAGTTATATTGAATTGTATACACCTCTTGACTGTAACTTGGAATATAAATGTTGAATGTTCTTATTTTCTGTTTCAAACTCTATTCTTTAAAAATGGGCCTAATATTTAGAAAGACTGATATTTAAAAGTGCTTTTAAAAAAAAAAAAGAGTCAGGTATGGTGGTGCACGCCTTTAATTTCAGCCTGTGAGTTTCCAGCTAGCCTGGTCTACAGACCAAGTTCCAGGGCAGCCAGAGCTATATAGTGAGACCTTATCTCAAACAAAAAAATATGCCAAACCCCACAAAAAAAAATAGGTAAACAAGAAAACCAACCCACACCTTAGCTAATAGTACTATACCCATCTTTGTTTTGGAGACAGTCTTGCTAAAATAGCCCAGGCTGGCCTAGAACTTGCTATATAGCCCGGGTTGGCCACAAACTCCTGTGTGCTGGAATTACAGTAATGAATACATGGTTTTATTGTTCTGAGCCCTAGGACTGCACGTGTGTCCCATGCACTTGTGAGCTACCACATGGGTGCTGGGAATTGAACCCCAGTACTTTGCAAGTATAACGCATGCTCTTCACCACTGAGCCATCTCTCCAGCCCCATGAAGTCACTTTCTGAAACACAGGGTCCTGGAGATGCTTACAGAGCCCTGAGACCTGGGTGACAGTTCTTAACGCCTTGGGCCAGGCCTTCTGGTCTGGGCCGGCCCGCTGAGACAGCACTGCACGAAGCATGCAGCAAGGAGGGCATCAAGTCTCAGCATACACTCTCGCCATGCTGAACGTGTAATCATGGAAATCACAGCTTGCCTCTTGAGGCTTTCTCTTGGGTGCTGGCTCAGCAGCCCAGAAGCTGTAATCCACCATTGGACAGCCCAGCTCTCAGACAGTCCTGTTCAGGCCGAGCTTCTGCTGACCCCGCACCAACCTCACACAGAGGCAATGTCGGGAAGAGAGCGGCATCCGCAGAAAAAGTGTCTGGGGGCACTGGAACCGGCAGAGAAGAGGTTAAGAAAAGCCAAGACAGCCACCCTAGAGAAGAAGGTTTCCTCTCAATCAGACCCTGTGAAACAGAAGGGGGAGGCACACAACTATCCCAGCAAAGGCTAACTAGGGCCTCCAAAGCTTTCCCTGAGGACATCCAATTAGAAGAGCCCGTTGGGGACCTTGCTATGACCAGTCTAGGATTGGAGGAAAGGAGGCACAGGACTCACAGGGACCCAGAGAGACAAGGAGGGAACTCAGGAGTTAAAGGGAGAACTTGCAGGCCCCAAGCCTTCCTGCCATTTCTGGCTCCAAAATGTCTCCCCTGGTCTCCAGTTGGGGATGGAGCTAGGTGCACACCTGTCCTGTTAATGCGGCCAGCTTTCTTTTCCCTTTTAGTCTGCCGTAAGCCTGAGAGCATTTCTCATCTAGACACAGTTATGTACGGAAAGGCAGCTTCTCATACGCACTGCTACTCAAGTTCAGTCAATTAAAAGCAGCTGGCAGGCCCGTGGCATATTTATGTGTGTGTTTGTGTGTGCATGCATTCCAGTATGTGAGTGCAAGTGAGTATGTGCACATGCGGAGGTCAGAGGTCAACTCTGGGTGCTGGTTCCTGCCCTCCACCTTGTCTGATACAGGCTCCCTTGTTGTTCACCACTAATATGGCAGGCTAGTGGATACAAGCTTCTGGGGATTCTCCTGTCTCTCCTCTTGCTGTAGGGGCACAAAGATCACAGACGTATGCCACCGTGCCCTGCTTTTGGAAGGTTCTAGAGATTCAACTCCAGACTTATGCTTCTATTGCAAGTGTTGTGCTCAGTGAGCCAAGGTCTCTCTGTAGCCCAGGCTGGCCTCAAAGCATCCTGCCTCGAGTGCTGGGATTGCAGACACAAGCCACCTCACCCGGGTTCTACTGCAGCTCATCTAGGCTCCTCAGCTGCGTCTCTGGTCTTGGGCCATGTCTGTGCTACAAGAGTTGAGTAACACCCAGTCTAGCTCTGTGAATAAAAATAAATTCTGGATGACAATGAAGATCACAATTTTAAGAAGTTAAAAAAAAAAAAAAAACCTCAAAACGTTGAGGCTAGTGGTGCAATCCTGTGATCCAGCTATTCAGGAGGCCGAGGCAGGAAGACCACAAGTTCAATGCCTAATCGGACTACAGGGAGACCCCGTCTTAAAGGATTAAAAAATTCTGGATGGATGTAGTTCAGTTGGTAGAGAGTTTGCCTCGCACACTGTAAGACTGAACTCAACCCCCAGTACAAATGAAAAGCAGACAGCACTGGCTGGTTCTCAAGAAGACACGGCAGTCTGAGGCGCTACGAGCAGTCATCCACCTGTTACAGCTTTTAACACATTTTATGTCCGCGCACCGCATTCAGGCCACACAAGATATAAAGGGTTACAAATATTCAGATTTTATTATAAATAAAATACTGTTTTCTTTTTTAAACATAGAAAAATGCCAAGTGTTGCGTTTTACTAACCTCCCGGAAGAGGAAGGCTATGGAGATTAAGGCAAACCGCTAAAGTGAAGGCACATTTAAAAGGGCCACAGTTGGGTTCAAGAGGAAAATTCCATGGGGAAAAAAAAAAATAAAACAATCTATTCTGTGTGACACCCGGCATTTTACAGCAGCCATCCTGTCAATTTTATTACATAAAATACAGATTACTGAAACTATACAATAAAACAATGGCCATGCTGCAGGAGTGTAATAGGTATTATCTTGTAAATAACTTTCATTTTTAAAAATAAATTTCTGTTTAAAAATATACCACACAGAAGGAGAGGATGAACCAAATCAAACACTCCACCCACCATGGCCTAAGCCCTGCTGGAGTGGAGCTGACCCAACAGATAATGGTGGTCTGTTTCAGCCATTTTCCTGCAACTGTGACCAACATGCACCTGTTACGGTAGTGAGCACTTAATCAGAGGAACTAGCCAATCAGCAATGAACTTGGTGAGGAAGAGCCATGCCTCTGCTGTGGCAGAAAAGACCTCGGAGGAGCAAGAGTGGAACCTCAGGGGTGCCAAGCCGAGCATTTTGGTGATCTCCATATGCCCAAGAGAGATGGAGACAGACTGAACAGAGTCTCCTCTCTGCCATCAGCTGCGCCTGGCACCCGAAAGTGCTCAGTTATTACATGCTCCCTACAAAACTGACCCATCCCACTCAGGAATGGGAGAGTCCCATCAGTAAAGTTTTCTAACTACTTCGTCCAGTCACCTGGTGGCTACTCTGGGGCAGACATGGAGGACAGCATGAGCTACAGCTCAGATGATCAGGGCAACAGGGGAGAGCGCCTGAGTGCCCTCTTGGGTCTGGCTGTGGAGCTGAGCAGGCTGAGATTGCGGTCAGACAATGAAGGTGCTGCAAACACGAGGCAGATGGAAGAGGCAGAGCACAACACTGGGGAGCAGGGATGACTCAGGAGACGATGGGAAGGGAGGAGGTATACAGGTTCCCTGTGCTAGCAAGAGGGAAATCTGAGCAAAGCCGTGAACTGACAGTGCCCTCCTGGGAGACCTGGGAATATTTACATAAATTCCTTACTCTATAATCATGATAAACAAAAACCATTCACACAAAAAATATAAATTTCAAATAATTAATAGCACCAGTGTGTCAGATAATAGTTTCTTTCCCCCCCGCTACGCAAAGTACAAAATTGCATAGTGTTAAAGGCTATATATGAATCTCAGAGGCAGGTAGGCAGGAGGAAGGGGGCGTGTGGCAGGAACTGTCACAGTGTGGTCCTAAGAAAACCACAGAGCTGAGGATCTGAGGTTGAGAATCCTACTAGGAAACGCCACACAAGGTTCTTACCGTTCTGTACAGAGAACAGTCTTAAGAGTGGGTGGAGCCACAAAGTGCAGGAACTGGATGGCGCTGGCAGTGGTGTGAAATACTGAGCGACAGCATTTGCCGCCAGGATCTGGCAAACAATGACGGATTTTGAAGAGTTCTAAATACAGAACTCTAGAAAAAGAGAATTCGAGCTTAGGGGCAAACATTACACCTCCCTCCAACAGAGAAGAAGAGAGCACAGATGGAGTCCTAATGATACTGGTTACACCTCCTGTTCCAGAAAATCTGGGGAGGAGGGAATCTGCTTTTCTTCCATTGGTCAAGATCTTAGAGACCAACTGTTTGACAGATAGCTTAACACTAATTCCAAGACTAACACACTAACAAAGCTTGAAGAATTAGGCTTGGAAAAAAAAATTTTAGTGGTTATCGCATCCCTGTTTCTTCTGCATCAAGTCCCATTTATAAAAATATCAAAAGCTATCTAGTGTAGTGATGAGTGCAAGCTGCCCATCCAGACTTTGTATCAGCTGCCTATGGATTTGAAAATAGTTTATCTTCCTGGTCAATTCATACGGGACAGAATCCTAGGTGTCTTTGAGCCATACTCTCCAGGAGACGGACACATAACTGTACTCTTTCCCAGGATGGCTCAGTGTCCTACACTCAACAGCTAGCATGACTGGTGGATGGCTACCAACATCTGAATGACCGATACCTTTGGCACAGGATGTTTATTTCCTTTTGTTTAAAAGAGGAGGCTGAAGATGCGGAGGCACTTTCCTTATCCACAGACGGGGCATACTGGCCATCTCAACGCTATGATGAGGAGCCAAACATTTCCTTCATAGAAACATGAGAACGGAGATAGGTTCTGCTGGTGTTGAGAGGAGGGAAGGGGAGGGGTCTGCCTTGGCGTAAGGTTGCTGGGTAAAGGGCTGATGTGAATGGAAGAGACTTTATTAGGCCAAACCCTTTGTTCCTGGTTCAGGATGTTTAACCTGCTCCTCTTTAAACTCCGACTTTTTGTGTTCACAAGGACAGTGGTGGACAGCAGCAGAGAGGTGGGGGGTCTGAAAAGTGTAATCTCTGTGTCAAGGCACTGTGGCCTCACGGGCTCCCCTTCCGGGGGCACTGCCTTGAGGCCCTCTCGTCACTAGGGCTTCTCAATGGACGGGGTGTTAAAGCAGCCGGACGGTAGGGTCTTCTTGATGTCCTCCAGGTTGTGAATGTCCTTTATGATCTCGTCTATGTCTCGGTTATAGTCCATGATGGCTGCCTCCTGCTTCCGGGCTTCATTCTCTAGGTCAGCCACCTTCCTGTCCAGATCGCTGACCTTCATTTCGTCCTTGGCTTTGTTCAGGGTGCCCTCGATCTCATTCAGCTTGTTCAGGTCCACGGTGTCCAGCTGTCCTGCAGAGTCAGGAAGGACACAGAGGAGAACAGGCTCATTCCTCGAGAACTTTGTCAGAAACTAAGGCTAGCAGCTTCCCTGGCTCAAAGGCGCTGCGTGTGCTGTGTTCAAGGGTCTAAGCAGTGCTGGCCTGGCCAACAAGGGCAGGCGGAGTGGATCATTAATATTAGAACAGTTGTAGTTTTGTTCTTGAGAAAACTGGTTTTCACAGAATGTTTTAATTTTTAAATATTTATTATTATTATTTATTACTGTGTGTGTGTGTGTGTGTGTGTGTGTGTGTGTGTGTACATGTGTGTCTGCATGAATGCCAAGGCATAGATGTGGAGGTCAGAAGACAACCTGCAGGAGCTGGTTCTCTCTTTCCACCATGTGGGTCCCAGGGACTGACCTCAGGTTGTCAGGCGCCGCAGCAAGTGCCTTACCCACTCCATCTCTTCAGCCCTCACAGAACGTTTTCCAAATGCACAGCTACCACATCTTAGACCCCGCATATGCTTACGAAGGCCATTTGGTAACACCCAATCCTCTTTGCCAGGTCATATAGGTAATCTGTGGGCCATTTCAGTATCATCAAAGAATATAAAAATCTCTAAGATAGAAGCATATGTCCATAACTCCCAGGTTCCAGGGAAGATGTGCTGGTTTGGGAATCACTTCCTGTTTGTAAAAGTTAAGACACTACTAGGAAAATAGAAAATGGCAAATGGCCAAGGCTGAAATGCTGAGATAATGCCAGCAAAGCCTCAATCTAAATGCAGTAAGACAAATAAGATCCTTTTGAAAGAGGATGTAGTCTCCTGAGACCAGTCTAGCTAGCTCACTGACTCTCAGACGCCAGCAATTTATTGGCCCACCTAAAACCTAGGCGATAGAGCCAGCAATCTAGTTCCAGTCTCCCTGCTTGCAAAGCCTGCCTCTTCTCCCTTCTCTCTCTTTAGCTTACGTCCATTTTAGGGTCATCTGCCAGCACATAACTTATTATTATTGATCTTTGAGACAGATAAAATATTATTTGTCTTAAAAAAAAAAAAAACAAAACAGTGGCACACAAATTCCAGAACTCGGGAGGCAGAGGCAGCTGGATCTCTGAGTCTGAGGCCAGCTTGGTCTACAGTGAGTTCCAGAAACAGACACAGAGAAACCCTGTCTCGGAAAACAAACAACACAACACGAAACAATCCCCAGTCTTCAAAGGCTATATTACTCCTTCAAAATGGAGCCTGGTGACAACAGGCTGTGTGTCCTAAAAGGAGATCTGCCTCTACCAAACTAGACTAAAAGGAGGGTTCATTGTGCTTGTATTTCCATGGAAACCAAATAAAACAAACAAAGTCTCCCTCTCTTTAGTGTAAAAGTTTTCACTTCATCAAACTGTTCTCTGGTTGGCAATGGAGAGATTCTGAGCAATGGAGCATGGCTCTAAGAATTCTTTATTCTACCATGGAGCCTTTCAAACCCCTTAAAGAACCCCACCAGCAGGGTGGACTAAGGGGAAATGGCTGTTTAATTACACAATGAACCCTGGCCATAAACGACACCCCAGCTGGCAGCTCATCTTCAAATGTAAAGACCGTGGTGTCCTAGTCGGGGCAGCATCCGGGGATGGCACCTAAAGCACCTGAGCTCAATGAGGTCGGAATCCTCTTCACTCTAGAGTTGGCGCCCAGCAATGCTGTGGTGTTGCAGCTGGCCCTAGACGGTGCTGCCAGGCAAGACAGTGGGTACGGCAGCCCTAACTGTGCAGGAGCTAAAGGAAACGTTAATATCGATGAGTTGAGGACTCCGTGTAAGTGGACTCAGAGTCGGTGGCATCAGACCCCAGAACGGCACAAAGCTCTGGGTGCTGGCAAGAGCGAGCCTTCCGTTACTTACCTAGCTGCTCCAGGAGGTCAGTCAGTTGGCCGAGGAGGCTGCTAACGGAGTTTTTGGCTTTTCTGGCATTGAGCTCAGCTTCCTGAGCAGCCTGTGAAGCCTGCGGGGAGAGTAAACAGCATGACTACCCCTGACGCCTTGTTTTCATTGTCTCTAAATATTTCCCTTAGTGAGGCAGCAGACCTATTTTCAGATGTGTCCCCCTTTTCCAAGTGCTGAGTCACAGACCCTCTGCAGGTTTTGGGGTGGTGTCTTTCTTCAGGTGGAGGAGTTACTTCTACTGCATGGAATAATCAGAATTCCTATGTTTTTTGTTTGTTTGTTTGTTTGTTTTGGACAGTCTTGCTATGTAACCTAAGCTGGTCTCAAATATAAGATTCTCCTGTCTCTGCCTTCCGAGTGCTGGACTGTAGGTATATACTCCTACGCCTGGCTGCCCTTCCTGATATATGCATTCAGAAGAATGACGCTATCTCATTTTCTCACTCCCCCCACTCCAGAATACCTTGGGCAAACACGTGATAAAATGCATTAGGTAGAATTAGGTTATTTTTAAAGTACAGATTGAGTATAGGAACACAACGTGGATACTCTTAGGTACCTGATTATTCAGAGATGTCCTACTCTTGAGAGTTTTCACAAGCAAAGCAAGGCTTTTCTGAAAATTCTCTGTCAACTACACACACACATGGAATACAATGGATATTTTCAAAGTCAACCAAAGGTAAATACGTTTGGGAAAGTTCCATGAAACCTGAACAAACACACTGGGCATGAGTCACAGGAAGCAGCGGTGGAAAAGGAAGCATCTACGCGTCAGAAAGCAGATGCTCTCACCAACAAAGCTAACAGCAGAGAAAAGAGCTTTGCATGCCCCACCAGGAATTATTGTTCCTTGTTTTGGGGTCAAAACAAAGCAAACATTTAGGGATAAAAACAATGTGAAAATTTTAAAAAAATAAAAAAGCTTTCACAAATAAATTATTAACTCAGTTTAAATCACAGCTGCTCTTGGGGAGCCGCATGGGCTTCTGGGCGGTTCTGGGACTGGGACACAGGACTCTGCTGTTTAACCTGTGGCCTTCGGTGTCTTCCAGAAAGAACCACAATCCTTCTGGTTGAAGAAAATATTAAACCCAGGCAATACTCACTGAATGGTGGACTTTCAAAACTATATAAATACAAAAGGGATAGCATATGAGGGCATGGCTTACTGATCCCAAGAAGTTATGTACCCAAACTAACAAAAGTGGATTCTCTTTCTGCTCTTTGAATTAAACCCATATTCCTTTTTGGAATTCATAAATATGTATTCTCTACTTTTTTCAACATGCTTTAAATACAATGCTTCCATCAAGATGGCTGAAAGGGTAAGTTGCCAAGTTTGATGACCTGAGTTCTAGGCCCCAAATCCACATGGTGGAGGAAAGAACTAACTCCCAAAGCTGTCCTGGGACAGCTGCATGTGTTACAGTGTGCGTGCATGCACACACATGGAATAAATAAGTATATTTTAAAAAGAGAAGCCATAGAGAAACATTGATGTTTGCTTCACGGTAATTTCCATTTGAGCCTCATTTTTACATTAAAATTGCAGGATAATCCAGCACAAAGTTTAAAAACTCAGCTGTTTTTTTAGTCAGTCACGGTGGTGCATAACTTTAATCCCAGCACACAGGAGACAGAAACAGGAAGATCTCTATGAGTTCAAGGCCATCCTGGTCTATAGGGAGAGCTCCAGGTCAGTCAAGGCTACACAGGGAGACCACCCTGACTCATAAAACAAAACCCAAAGCTCAGCTGGGTGCATAGAGAGGGGTCACTTCACCAGACCTTGTATTTGTCCTTTCCATCTCAAGGTAAAAATGACCCACAGCAAAAGGCCGTGTTTTGGGGGCCTCTTCCTGACACAGCAAGGATGAGTGCAAACAAGCTGACAATGTTCACCGACCCTGCGACCCTGCGACCCTGCGACCCTGCGGACCCTGCGACCCTGCGACCCTGCGGACCCTGCGACCCTGCGGACCCTGCGGACCCTGCGACCCTGCGGACGCAACTCAAAACAGCCCCGTGATCCTTTCTAATGCAAGACAGAACACCAAATGAAGAAAAATGGCCCCTCATTCTCCCGTGTACCAGTCAGTCACAAAACCACTCGGCCACAGTGGCCTGCTATGCGCAGGCACCACAGACAGTGTGCAAGGGAAGCGGGTGTGAGGCTGGTGTGAGGCTGGTGTGAGGCTGGTGTGCTTCAGTGCAGTGGCAGACAGTGTTCCTCAAATGCCTTGTAGAAGAACCTGGTCTCTGCCCGTAGTGAGCGAGCAGCTGGGAGGACTCAGAAAGGAACTGGCTTTTTGCTGCATTCTCCTTTTAAAACAATTTTAATTTTATCCCATGTATGAATCACCTACTCAGCCACATTAAACACACACACACACACAAACACACACACGGCTTTTTTTTTTAAGTGTTCTAAAACGCCAGCTGTGAGGGAAATGTTTTGCTTCTAACTGAGTGGTTTGGGGACAGAGCAATTGTGCAACACCAATACCTGGCAGAGGAGCCAAATTCTTTGTCTTCTACATAAGCTACTGACCCAATTCCTGACCAGAAAATGCAATACAAACCCGAGGTTCACATGGAAAAGGCATTGTTGGGGGGTCTCTCCCAGTGAGCACCCTCCCCTCTGCCTCTGAACAACAACAGGGAGCTCTTACCATCCCCGCCATCATCATGTCCTGGTCGGCATCGTCTTGTTTCCTCTTCAGCTCATTTTCTGCTTCCTCCAGTTGCCTCAACATAATGTTCACCTCGTTATCCAGATCCGTCACTTCTGCGAAGGTTCTCTCGGCGTCGGCCTTGGTGCCGGTGGCATTCTAGGCACAGAAGGAACTGCTGACCAAAGCAAACCAAAGACCCAGAGCCACCTTCCCTTTCCTAGAGCGCCTCCTACTCCCTTCTGTAATCTGTTTGGCAGAGAACAAATTCTGCGCGGACTCAGGGGTCTAGAGAGCATGAGATGTGTGAGCAGGGGCTGGTGAAGAGGGAAGCGCTCACCTTCTGCACGGCGCTGGCGATCCTCTCTGCTTCATGGGCTTTGGTCTTGGCCTCCGTGGCATCGGCTGCAGCATTGCCCAGGGCCAGCTGTGCCTCCCGTGTCTTCTCATTGGCCTCAGCTATGGTCCGGTTGATGGCGGGAATCCTCCTGAGAGCCTCCTCTGCAGCTGTCTTGTTATCATTTACACGTCTATCAAAATCTAAAAAGGAGTTCAAGGCACGCATTTGAATTAAACTGCCAAAAAGAATACAAAACTGCAATTGGATTTTGTTTTCTATGCAGCAAACATCTGTTGGGGGAACAAAGAATAACAACTGGAGATGAACCTCAGAGAGCACAGAACACACCTATCCCTGTGCAGAGGGTTCATGAGGACAGAACACACCTATCCCTGTGCAGAGGGTTCACGAGGACAGAACACACCTATCCCTGTGCAGAGGGTTCACGAGGACAGAACACACCTATCCCTGTGCAGAGGGTTCACGAGGACATAACACACCTATCCCTGTGCAGAAGGGTTCAGGACCAGTCACAGGCCTGCACATCCGCTTCTGAGTAGAGTTCCTATTTGAAAAGCCACTGCCATGGAGGCCCGGCACACCACTGCTTCAGCCAGTGTCTTCGGGGTCTACTGTGTGTCGGGTGCAGTATGACACTCTGCTGACGAATGGGGAACCAGCAATCCAAAAGGCTAATTTGTGGATAGGGGTTCAAACAGACCCCGACACCAAAGCTACACTTGCAACTCTTATGCTTATAGAACCTGTGATTATTTCCACCAAACACGAATCGACCCCTCGGTGAACCGGATGGGTGTGCTTCTCCAAGACAAAGAATTAGATATCAGTGGTGGAAGAAAAAAAAGATAGTCTCTGTTTATCACTGAAGGTCAGCTAAGCAGGCAGACTGTGGGGACGCGAGTTAGTCTAACGCGAGACCACCCTCCTACATATGGCTTTTTGTTTGCAGACTGAAGAATGCCAGGGTAAAATGACAGAGGCACTCTGATTTTTCTTTCAAATACTCGAGCTCCAGATTTGCCAAGAGATCCTGCTTCAATAAATAGAAGACCCATTAAGGAGATACCTGGAATCAACTTGAGGTCTACACATGCACGTATGCACGCGCGCGCGCACACACACACACACACACACAGACTATGGAGGTTAAACCAAGTATGGTAGAAGACCACGGTTAACTACTGGATCGAAGTAGTCAGTGTATAGGATTTAGCGCACTGTTATGTTCACCGGGAATCATGCTAAATACAAATGGAAAAGTGACTCAGTGACCGCCTCTGCGGAGGACAGGCAGAGACGCTGCTGCTACCTGACCCTCTCATACCTTTGAGGTTGTTGAGAATGTCATTGGCTTCTTGTAAGGTATTTCGTCCCTTTTTAGCAGCCTCTTCAGCAAGAGCCTTGGCAGCGTCAGCTCGAGCTAGGAGTTGGTCGGCCGTCTGCAAATGCATGGCAGGTCAGAGGACAAACCTTTGTGGGCCGGCCTTTCCCTCTCACAGACAAGCCCCTCACAGCCACAGCTTAGCTTAGGGACTGACGCATACACAAAGGCCGCAATAGATGTGGCTCACCCTTGAGTCGTTTAAATTGTTGCCTCCAGAAATGCGGCCAGTGGCAAATCAAACCAACCTGCTGCTCAGCTTTTCCCTTCTCTAGAAGGTTCTTTACTTCATTTTCCTTCCCTCTCATGTCTTCGCGAAGGTCCTCATAGTCCTTTAGCTTCTGGTCAATTAGACGGTCCAGATCTGCAGCTTCCTTCTTGATTTTATTTGCTTCATTCTGTGACGAACATATAAGCAATGATCACAATAAATGACAAGGAAGCTTAGGGACTCTGTGAGATTTAAGGCTCAATTGACAGAAGGACAGCAGAGGTCAAGAGTTTGTGGACTTTTTTAAAAACCAAGTATACTTTAGTGATTTCCGAAGTCTCCTGTATTGTGATTAGCTTCCACAGCTCTGCCAGCCACAGCTCAAACACATCTTCCTCCAAGTCCCTTTCATACAACTCTCCCTACCCCCTCCACAGCTGCGGCCTTCTGCCGGCCATCATATCAAGCCCATCTATTTCACACTGCACACACATGGACTCAGTCACATCAGGCACCTGAAGAGACCGAAACCCTGGGAAACCAGTTGACACAGATACAGGAAACAAGCTGGTCAATTTCAAGTTTATTATTAAAGATATTTATATGGGGGTTTCGGGTGAGAAACCATGGTTAGAAGAAATAAAACACTACCAACTCCCAAATATTCTACCTGCCGTGGGCATGCTGCTATAGTTCTTGCAGGCTCGCTCTTCTTGCTGCTCTCCAGGTCCCTGTTACACAGGTCTAGGAAGGCTCCAGCCACACTCGCTTCAGTTAACTCAAATACATCACAGTTTGAATTTATACGAAACATCTAGAGGAAGTATTCCTATTACCAAGAAACCCTTGCTCCTTCATGTCTATAGTTCTTTATCTCACTAAGTTACATTTGCGAAATTAAAATAGAATTTACCTTTACCAGTGAGCCAGCTGGAGGTCTGGAAGGGAGAAGCAGGGCAGGCTCTTACCCAGACTAGAGGGACTGCGGTGTCAGGGACTACAGTGGCCAGTCTTTGCACACATACCTCCAGCGCCTCGGAGTCCACAGGGGTCAGCTGGGCCACACTGGCATAGATCTCTACAGCTTTGTCACCCGCCCGCTTGGCTTCCTCATGGACTCGGGCAGCCTGCTTCTCCAGGTCCTGAGAGATGTTCTTTGCTTGCTCATACCTAAGGAACAAATGACGTAATTCAATTTAAAAAACCAAAACCTGCTTTTTTAACATCTTAATATTAAGCAGATACAATCTACTTATTATCTCTGGGACAACAGCTCCAAAAACCTAAAAGGAACTATGTTGGGGACTGCGGACCACCAGACCCTGAATTTCTTGTAAACAACTTGTTTTCCTCTGCTCTGAGCTGTCTGCAACTGCAAGGTCCCGAGAGCCGGGGCGTGGTCAGAGCCCTATATAAGCTGCCCCTGAGCACAATAAAGTGGGCATTCTTGGCATTCTTGTATCAAGGATGTCCCCGTGTCCCTGTCTGTCTGTCTCTGTCTATTATTGTGTTTTTAAATTTTCAGTCTAGTTCCTGTAGTGCGTAGCAAGTAGAGCGCGGAACAGAACTGGTATAGTTTTATATTACTGCTATACCCAATGCTCTCATTTTGATAACAACCCTAGCTAAAAGTTACATTTCATTTTTTCAGTTCTATTTAGCTTACCGTATATAAACCAGGCATCCCTAAAACCCAAATTCAAGCTCTATAACATTTCTAGCTCTGATAATACAACAGGAGAAGTTCATACCTGATTCCATGTGATGGCTACTATCAAATGGCAGACACACTACAAATACAGGCTACACACACACAAACATGGATGAACTTTGTATTTAGACTTGGGTCTCACTCACAGTCTCATTATATAGACACACACACACACATATCCCAAACACTTCTGGTCCCTAATCTTTCAGATTAGAAATACTCAATTGATACATTTTATACATTCTTACTTTGGACCGTTTAAAGGCCGGCAGCTCAGCACATTTTCTCCACTTTACTCTAACTTCTCTTCCCTTCAGCCTTCGTATACGAAGCCTCTTAAGTATGTGGCCAGTCTAGCTCCCATCGCCTGCAGGCAGAGCTGGAGGGGCTACACATCCCCTGCCCTAACCACTCCACCACTCTGAAAGTGTGATGAACCTCACACACATGAGCCTAGTCCCCAGTCCACATGCTGGCTCTGCACAGCCCCGACGGGGAGCCATTTCCCAGTTACACTCACTTCCTATTAAGCTCTTCGATCTCAAATGCAGTTTGATTCTCTCCTTCCAGGGTCCTCAAAAGCAGATTATAGGCCTCAGCCGAAGTCTCATTGGCTGTCTCTGCCACTCGGACAATGTCATCAGCTTCCTGTTTGTGGCTGTACATGTACAGGGAAAATTAAAAATAAACCGTGAACAAGACCATTCAGTAGGAAAAGAAATAAAATTTAAGTAACATTTACTTGGTTCTATTTCCATATACTAGTATCTAGGAATACTAGAAAGTCCTTGGTTCTATTCCATATACTAGTATCTAGGAATACTAGAAAGTCCTTGGTTCTATTCCATATACTAGTATCTAGGAATACTAGAAAGTCCTTGGTTCTATTCCATATACTAGTATCTAGGAATACTAGAAAGTCCTTGGTTCTATTCCATATACTAGTATCTAGGAATACTAGAAACTCCTTGGTTCTATTCCATATACTAGTATCTAGGAATACTAGAAAGTCCCATTTGGAGTTTCACAGTCATTTCAGGTGGCTAAGTTCACAAAAAGCATTATGTAACTGAGAAGAGTAATTTCTGGTAAATAAATGGCACAAAACTCTACTGGGAAAAATATGTATTTTTCTGAGAAAAACTGCTTTTGTTTGGTGTGCTGAGGTAGCTCCTGCACATAACCCTAGCACTGAGGCAACAGGATCAGGAGGTTCCAAGCCAATGAGCTACAAAGTGAAAATGTCTCAGAGGACAGGGAGGGGAGAGAGGGAGGAAACCTCCCAATGTGAGTAATTTATTCGAATGTGAGTAATTTACATATAGCACTGGGCTACCCAGACCGTGTATCTGGTCAACTACACAAACACCAGACTATCGTACAGTCTGCTGGACTACACAGTTACTACATAGTCTCCACAGTTACTACATAGTCTCCACAGTTAGTACATAGTCTCCACAGTTACTACATAGTCTCCACAGTTAGTACATAGTCTCCACAGTTACTACATAGTCTCCACAGTTAGTACATAGTCTCCACAGTTACTACATAGTCTCCACAGTTACTACATAGTCTCCACAGTTAGTACATAGTCTCCACAGTTACTACATAGTCTCCACAGTTACTACATAGTCTCCACAGTTAGTACATAGTCTCCACAGTTACTACATAGTCTCCACAGTTACTGCATAGTCTCCACAGTTAGTACATAGTCTCCACAGTTACTGCATAGTCTCCACAGTTACTGCATAGTCTCCACAGTTACTACATAGTCTCCACAGTTACTACATAGTCTCCACAGTTACTACATAGTCTCCACAGTTACTACATAGTCTCCACAGTTACTACATAGTCTCCACAGTTAGTACATAGTCTCCACAGTTACTACATAGTCTCCACAGTTAGTACATAGTCTCCACAGTTACTACATAGTCTCCACAGTTACTACATAGTCTCCACAGTTAGTACATAGTCTCCACAGTTAGTACATAGTCTCCACAGTTAGTACATAGTCTCCACAGTTACTGCATAGTCTCCACAGTTAGTACATAGTCTCCACAGTTACTGCATAGTCTCCACAGTTACTGCATAGTCTCCACAGTTACTACATAGTCTCCACAGTTACTACATAGTCTCCACAGTTAGTACATAGTCTCCACAGTTAGTACATAGTCTCCACAGTTAGTACATAGTCTCCACAGTTACTACATAGTCTCCACAGTTAGTACATAGTCTCCACAGTTACTACATAGTCTCCACAGTTAGTACATAGTCTCCACAGTTAGTACATAGTCTCCACAGTTAGTACATAGTCTCCACAGTTAGTACATAGTCTCCACAGTTAGTACATAGTCTCCACAGTTACTGCACAGTCTTTACACAGCCTGTCTTCAAACTTTTCTTATTTGACCTAATTACTGGAAGAAAAAGCAACACCAAATAGCAATGAACAAGTCAATAGGGACTCCAGCCAAGCAACACATCTTAGCTGGGTAACAATGCCAATTGATTTTTCACTTCTAACAGTTCATGTTGAATTGTGACACCCATTATGTGGCCATTCTCCTTGGCAAAAGAAACTTCATCCTACGTCCTCACGTGAAGCCCATCACATCAGTAAGTTTCTGGGACCTAGATTTCTTGGGAGCTTCCATGTTTTTAGCTATCTTCCTAATTTAGTAAGAAAATCCAGCAATAAACCCATACAACCGTGAATGTTCTGCAAAGTTGATTACATGGCTCACAAACTCACACTCACCCAGAACAGAAAGGAACCTGCTAAGGTCAACGCAACCTAAACCTGTGAGGTGGCAGTGCCGCCATTCTGGACAAAGTCGACACTTCTGACGTCTGCACTGAGTGCCTACACTGGGACTCCATACAAAGATGCCTGCTCTCACGGTCACCTACATTTTAGCCATTTAAAAAGTTAACTCCTTCTGCAATTTAAAGCCTTCCAAGGAAGTTATAATGAATTTAAAAGTGTCTAAAAAGCAAACAAGCCAGGAATGAAATGATCAGTGTTCTTTGGCTTACTTTCAAATGTGCAATGAGTTTAAGTGTTTTCTAATGAGAACTGAAAATTAAATATTTGTTGAAAACTAATGTAAAAACTTTAAATTAATAACTTCTATTGGTTTCCTTAGAAATCTATAAATTTGAAGGCTTTAAAGTTGAAAAAAATCTAAAAAAGTTAAATCTGATATATGTAAATATAATTTTGTTCTAAGCTAGTATATTCTAATACTTAAGATAAGTTATTCCGATTTCAAAGTGAAAAAGAAAGAGTCTGCAGAGTTGCAACATTAGATCGAGGGCAAGCCTACAATGGAAAGCATGCACGGGAGGGGATAGGACTGCATGCACAGGTCAGCTAGGGCACTGCGCCTGAACCCTGCAGCATACTGCAGCTTACCGCTCTGCAAGCCTTCGAGCCTCTTCTGCCAACAGCGTCATGTTGTTTGGTTCCCCTGTAGACTCTGGCTGAGTGATTGACTGAAGAGGAAATAAAACATGGATTTTCAAAAGACTGAATTGTTTAAATTCAATAAAGCAAGTATTAACACTAATTATTGTGAATTCTTTTTCTGTTTGTTTGTTTGTTTTTCTTTGTTTTTTTGAGACAGGGTTTCTCTGTAGCTTTAGAGCCTGTCTTGGAACTAGCTCTTTTAGACCAGGCTGGCCTCGAACTCACAGAGATCCACATGCCTCTGTCTCCTGAGTGCTGGGATTAAAGCTGTGCACCACCACTGCTTGACTTAATTTTTGTTAATTCTTATGCAAAATATTTTTTTCTTATTTTCAGAGATCTTTAGTTCTGATCAGCACCTCTGGTTGGAAACTATTTCTATTTTGAGTGCTGCAGAAGAGGGAAGTAAGAGAAAGAACCTAGACATCCCTCTGTTTCTATCCAGGTCCTTCTGTTTTGTGACAATTGTTGAGGTTAGAACCTGAGCTGACCCCCTCAAGTTCCTTCCTGTGTTGGAAAACCTGATTCCCAGCTGGAGTTTAGGGGCAGCTATGGAAGCTTACTTAGGAGGTGGGTCACTGGGATAGGCCTTTAGTGGTATAGCCTGTTCTGCTTCTGTCCCATTGGCTTCTGGATCTGGCTGCTGTATGAGCAGACACCACACGCTTCTGCTACTACCAACAGCTGTCCTTTGCCCATGCTGAGGAACTACGAGCCAAATAGCCCTCTTCTGTTTTAAGCTGTTTCTGTTAGCTTTGCCACAACCGCTTCAATGACTATGATCCGCATGGCTCTCCTGCTCTGGGGTGCCAGGTAGTAGGATGAAGACACACTGGGGGTGGATTCTCGGTGGAGTAGAATGACCTGCTACAAATTTCCCAACAACCCACCATACCCACGGGAAGTTCAGAGTCACTCACCACATTGGCAGCAGCCATTTTTGCTTTCTCAAGCTCCCTGGAGGCAATCTCAATCAGTTGCTCCGTGCTCTCCACGCGGGACCGTGCTTGTTCAGCCAAGATCCCGGTCTCTTCTATAGTATTCCGGATGTTCTGCAATCGGCTTATTTGGCTATGTAGACTGCTATTCACCCTCTGAAGGCGATCCATCAAATTCTGATCTACATCTGAAAGAGCATTGCAGACAGACAGCCTGAAAATGATCATCATACCACCCATGTGAAGCTGAGGCGCTCTGTTTCTTCCCCAACCCCCAGCAGAGGTGATGCCTCTACTGTACTGTACTGGCTTGCGTGCACTGCTCCCAACCTCGCTGTCTGTCCCAGGTGACTGAGTCCCTTTCCTATCCATCCCTGGGTCCACAATCTTACACGAAAGTCAGCAAAGCAGAGACATGATGAGGGAAAGGAAAAAGGATCTTCGTATTGTGTCAGATTTAGTCACAACTGCATAGTATTGAAGTGTCGTCAGCCTAAAAACCTGACACATAACTATTAAAAAGTACGCTTGAAGCAGACGCCAGGTGTAATGATGGACGCTGAATTCCAGCATTCAGGAAGCCGAAGCAGGTGGCTCTCTGTGTGTTCCTGGCCAGTCTGGTCTACATGGAATGGAGGGATACAAAACAAAACCCTGACTACTCAAAATCAAACAAACAAAACAACACTGATGTATAGTAAACACAACTTCTTTGCATTTTAAACCAGGTATGCTTCTTGCTCCTCCCCACTCCACCTCTGTCCCAGCACATGTATGCGATTTTCATTGGATCTCTGCTTCGACAGAGTCCCTCAAACTGCACTTTACCACTCCATTGAACTTAAACCTCATGCTTGGGTCCCAATAAATCAAACGATAATTATAAACCTGTGCAAATATAAAGGCTGCCAGTATTAAATTCTCATATGTCAGGAGGTTTTTTATTAACATACAAAAATTCAAGTTCTATTTAAAATCAACCAGTTCTTGGAACAGAAGAGAGCCTGGAAATACACCCACACATCTGCAGCCAGCCAGCTTTCAAAAGTTTAAAAACACACCAGGAAAGAGAGAGAGAGTTGAGTCAATAAATGGGATTGGAAAAGCAGACTACCACACAAAGAATGAAGCTGTACCTTTAACCCGACCAGTTAAACACCAACTTAAATGAGCTAAGCACTTGAATAGAAGGCCTAAAATAATGAAATTACTAAAAGAAAACAAAAATGCTTCAGGACTCTAGAACTGGCAAGGATTTCTTGGACAAGGCCCCAAAAACACAGGAAATAAAAGCAAAACTAGACAAATGCAATTACATCAAACTGAAAGGCTGCAGAGCAAAGGAAGCCACCAAGAGCGTGGAGACAGCCAAGGGGGACAGGCGGGGAGTAAGTACAAGCTGCGCACCTGGCAGCACTAAGAACTTAAAAATTCATTACCGAAAAGGGGAAAAAGTTAACAAATGGGCAGCACGCATAAACAGACATCTCTCAAAAGAAGACACACAAATGTTTAACACCATCAATCAACAGGAAATTCAAGTCAAAACTTCAATGAGAGACAGCGTCACCTCATTCAGTACGGCTACTGGCAGAGAGACTGTGGTGAACACGTGCTGGTGAGGGCACGGAGAAGGGCAAATCTGCACACTCTGTCAGGAACAGGAGTCAGTACAGCCATCATGGAAAGCACTCAGCACTAACCAACCTGATCCAGGAATCCCAATCCCACATGCAAGGGGATGTCAAGGAGACACCCACAATCCCATCACTGAGACACTCTTCTCAGTAGCCAAGCAGCCAAATCAATAAACGGGTCTACCAATCAATGATTAATGAAACGGCCCATAAACACAAAGAGACAGTGTGACCGTAAGGAACGAAATCCTATCGTCTGCACCCACATAGATGGAGGGCGATAATTCGTGAGCGAATACACTCACAGAGCAAAGAGCACCGGGTCTCACCCAGATGTGGAAGTTTAAAACAGCTGACAGGAACAAAACAGTGTGAGCGTGCAGCAGAAGGCAGGGGAGGGGAGGGTGGGCAGCGGGCAGAGCCTTAGAGAGCTCTAAGAAGTCCCTGACGCACTGCTGAATAGTGAGCGGGGCAACGAGGAAAATCAGTGCCTAAAAAGGCTGGAAGAAAGGGTTTTGAAAGCTTTCACCACAAAGAAATAATAAATGTCTGTGGGGTAGGTGTTTAACCTGATTTAAGCTCTGTGCGATGCATATATGTACCCACATCAAAACATTATTACTCTATGAGTATATATAGTTTTTATGTTCAATGTATTACTTAGAAATAAGGGAGGTTGAGAACCACTGCTTTAGACTCTGAGGAACCAACTGCCACACCTCACTGTCCAGTTCTCTAGATGGCACCATAAAAGACAACAGAGACACTAACTACTCATGTCAACCGTCCTTCAATTCCAGTGTCTACCTGTCAGCCCCGAACCGTCCATGCCATCTTCTTTCAGATCTGCAGATTAGGTTCGGTTCCACTACAAGGGAGTCCTTACAGCACAAAGGCATTCTCACTCCTGTCTAGCCTAAACCTGCGCGGGGAAGGCCAGCTGGGAACTCCACAGCTGAGGAACCGCAGAAAGAGAATTCCACCCCAGTCCATGGGAGGATCCCAGGACTAGAGGAAGCAACAAACCACCGTGCTGCCAGCTTGCAGGTGGTGCTAGGAAGTATGATGAAATTTCCAGCCAACAGATTGTTTACGTGGGCACAGGAAAATACGTGGTTACTGTGGCAGAGGACATGGCCAGCAGCTCAGCCATACCAAGTAACATAGAATGATAAGTGCCCAGACTTGCTGCCCTTCTTTGGCCCTGGGCCTACTCTTGTACATTGGTAGTACTGGCCAAGAGCTGCAATATAACCAACCCTATGAGCTAGAGTACACCAAACAACATGGGAATCTGTTGTTCTAATAGAGCATGTCAATGGAAAACCACATGCCAAAGTGGCTGACACAATGAACATCCTAAGGGGAGGGTGGTCCATTCTTCCTAGGCAGTGTGTACCACTCAAAATGACACCAACAAACAAGCCCAAACAAAGATGCAGATGCATCTAACATTATAATAAGCCACCAACACCTTATGCTTTTCAATTTCTAAAAAATATCTCACATGGAACAAATTGTGGACTCTCATAAAAAAAGAAATCAAACAAACTTGCCAAAACAAAGTATGTCCAGTTACTTCCTTCCCTATTTCAATAATCATCTAAAATTAAAACGCTATACATAAGCGGTACTTATATGTAGAAAAAAAAGCAACATATTTAGTTTCTGATCTAAATACATGACTTCTCCATGTAACTGCAAAATGAATATATATAGATAAACTCAAAGTGGAGTTGGTCATGCTGCCCCATGCACACTAACTTTAATGAACATTTACTAGGTGCCCCTGAGAACACACTTGTCCCATGATACATAGGGGACTCCGCCTGATGGTGAGCATCCTGAAGACAGGAACAGCTTTGCCCGCCTTCCCACCACTGGGACCAAGCTCAGCACCAGGCTTACTATAGGCACTCAACCACTGTAGAAAGAGTCTGCCCAAGTTTAGAAAAAAAGCTTAGTTCAGAGTAAGGATTAAAACCAAAACTTTAAAGTGATCCAAAAAGCAAGTATTTGATTTAAAATAACATTTCAACTTTAAAGTTTTTAAAAAAAGGTTTCTTTGAAAGTCAGCAGAGTGTTTTAAAATATCTGTCCTCAAAGTCTGAGGCTGATCTCCTTTCTCTCTTCCATCTCGTCACAGCATGTGCAGAAAACCTTAGGATGGGTGTGGTACATACGATGTGCACTTTTATGTAATGCTAACACATAGCGTGCTAATCAGACAAATGTTTTCATACACGGGCACTGATTTCTAAGGCTTCTGTTTTACAAATGCCAAGTGTTGATTATTCAGTAGCTAGTTGTTCAACCAATGCTTGAAAACTGTGGTTTTTGTTTTGTTTTGCTTTTTGGTTTTCTGAGTCACAGTGAAGAAAATAAAACCATACACCAAATAAATTCTCACCCACTAGAACAGTGGGAGATTAAAATCAAAATTCTAATTTTCTTCTTATAAAAGTGCTCCTCAGAAATTGTAGCTGGAAAACAAACATCCTAAAAGGTGCTTGACTTTAATGATATTTTCAACTTCAGATTCTTTGTATGTAAAGGAACAGATTCATAAAATACTTCAAACCTGAACAACCAATAGTTTTTGATATAGTGGGAAGTTATCCCTGTTTATTTCATCTTAAAGCATTAAGACTATAGGTCATTTTTAAAATGTTGCCTTTAAAATGAAATATCTTACAGCCAGACAGGCAGTTCATGCCTGTAATCCTAGCACTTAGGAGGCTGAGGACTGCCACATGTCTGAGACCAGCTTGAATACACATGAGTGCCAGGTCAGCCTAGGCTATAGTGAGACTCTGTCTAAAATAACACTTAAAAAACAAAAACATATTCTGCAAGTAGTTTAAAAACTGGGAACTTGCCGGGCGGTGGTGGCGCATGTCTTTAATCCCAGCACTTGGGAGGCAGAGGCAGGCGGATCTCTGTGAGTTCAAGACCAGCCTGGTCTACAAGAGCTAGTTCCAGGACAGGCTCCAAAACCACAGAGAAACCCTGTCTCGAAAAAACCAAAAAAAAAAAAAAAAAAAAAAAAAAAAAAAACCTGGGAACTTTATAAAAACCATATTAATTGTAAACTAGAAATGAATCACAGTCGCTCAGCGTGATATGTATACCTTTGACCTCCTGAGCCTCACGGAGGAGGTCTGTGACCTCTCTCTCTGCCTCCTTCAGTCTGTCCTCAAAGGCTTGGTCCGTCACCGTCTCGTCCCCGGTCCCGAGGTTTGCTATGAGGCTCTCTAACTCCTGGAGTTTCACTCGATGCTCAGCAACCTGAGGAGGACAACAGAACTTGGCTGTGGGTGCTGCGGGAGCCACGGGGAGCCCCGGAAGTGGGAGGACTGTGCCCTCACACACAGGCATCACAGGCAGAAGTAGGAGGACTATACCCTCACACACAGGCATCACAGGCAGAAGTGGGGGGACTGTGCCCTCACACACAGGCATCACAGGCAGAAGTGGGGGGACTATACCCTCACACACACTGCTCACACAGGCAGCACAGGCAGAAGTGGGGGGACTATACCCTCACACACACTGCTCACACAGGCAGAAGTGGGGGGACTGTGCCCTCACACACACTGCTCACACAGGCAGAAGTGGGGGGACTATACCCTCACACACACTGCTCACACAGGCATCACAGGCAGAAGTAGGGGGACTGTGCCCTCACACACAGGCATCACAGGCAGAAGTAGGAGGACTATACCCTCACACACACTGCTCACACAGGCAGCACAGGCAGACAGTGGCTTGTCTTTTCTTCTGGCTTCCAAAGCAAACCCTTAGAACCACTCTCTTCCTGTACACGGTCTGTTGACAGTTCTCCAGCTCCCCCCTGAGCACCTGAGAGCTCCACCAGGCCTCTCAAACTGAACCCAGGACCTGTCCTCCCTGGGGATTCCCAGTAGACAGCATCTCCAGCAACATAAAGTGAAAACCTCAAGGTCCAAGCCCTTTCTTGAGACTTCTTTTTCCCTACCCCGCTCTCTCACCCACCTATTTATCCCACCCATTCAACGGCTCTCCCTTCATCCCATCCCTAGTGACCACTCTTCATGGGGTAGTCAGGACTCCTCTGAAAGTACAACTGGACCTCTATACACTTCCATTGTATTTGGGAATAATTCCTAAAGTCCTCACTTACCGTCAACACAGTCCTACAGAACCTCCACAGGGCAGGATCCAGAAGCTCCCGGGGTCCAGGCCTTTGCCCGGCATTCCTCCTCCCATGGCTCCCTCTCCTCACCCTCAGCTTTCACTTCGCAAGAGTTTCCTTGCAGAGGCCTTACCCAGTTTCCCATAGATATTATCCATTCCTACTCTTTCCACCTCTTATCTCGGGTGTTTTCTTATTCACGCAGTTCTGGTCACTCCCCCTAACTAGAAAGTATGCCTCTGAGAAGAGAGATCAGATCCAACGTGTTCACCATTTTTCTCTCTGGAGCCTAGAGTATACTGAGTTTCCACTTGGTGTCCTCTGAATAGATGAGAAATGAATGAATGAATGAACGAATGAATACACTACTGGCAGCTTACCTTATCCTTCACCAGCCGGTAACAAGCTGGACACTCCTGGCAGCCAGGCCAAGAGCGATTATAGAAATAGTTCTCTTCACATTGGTCACAGCGATTTCCCACAAAGCCTTCCCTGCATTCACAGCGGCCATCGTCTTTACACTGGAGTGAAAGGGACCCTTCGTGGTGGCAGTCACAAGCTACAGAACAAGAGGACAATTAAGACAGTTCCCATCTGAACTGGTTGTAACATCATTCTAAGCACTTAGAAAAATTCATTTATGAGATCCTAGATAGGTAAGTCCATTTGGCAGAGAAGACAGACATTTTAAGTTGTAAATTAAAATGTGCACCCTTTGGGGCACACTCTTTGTGTGTGGTGTATGTGTTCATCTGTGCACACACATGCATGTGCCCACAGAGGCCAGGGGTCACCACTGGGTATCTATCCTCCTCTATCACTTTCTGCCTTACTTCTGTCGTTGGTTTTTGAGACAGGGTCTCATTATGTAGCCCTGGCTGGCCTGGAACTCACTACGTAGACCAGGCTGGCTTCCAACTCACTAGAGATCTGTATACTTTTGCTTCCCGAATGCTGGGATTAAAGGTGTGTGCCACTGTGCCTAGTTCCCAACAACAGGGAAGACTGGCTCCCTAATGAGCTCCAGGGATCTACCTAGTTCAGCACTGCAGGTACAGATGCACAGCTACCTTTTTATGTGGGTGCTGGGGATCTGAACTCAGTTCTTCTTGCTCGTATGGCAAGCACTTTATCCACTGAGCCGTCTCCCCATCACCCTGGGACACAGTCATTACAGAATTACCAGAATGGTGGAGAATGTGCCTCTGAGAAGTGGAGGAAAGGGAGGTGAGGCGAGCCCGGGCTACTCAGGGAAGGGGAAAAAACCCTGTGTGTGTGTATGTGTGTGTGTCTGTCATTATTAAACTAAGTAGTATTCTTTTTCATACGCTTCAGGAATTCCTCTCTACTTTCATCTTTCCACAGCTTGAATTTCTCTAAGAAATAAGAAACCCCAAACGCTAACACTTCTCTTGCATTATTTTTCAGTTTTTTTTCTCACTTTGTTCGCCGAGCTGAGTCAGTGGCTTGTGCTGCATTCCACAGGAGAAACGAAGGAATTCAGAACACAAGAACCCAAACTGTTCTGATTTCCAGGCAAGTGTTTATGCCAAGGAGAAGCAGATGTTTATATCCAGCCAAACCAAAAAGGCCCCACGGGTGGAGAATAAGCACAGTGAGTCAACAAATACTGAACAGAACCCATTACTGTTCCCTTATCTGCAATGATAATGTGATCAATAAACAAGTTTCATGAGGCAGAGTGGGCAAGCTCAGGGCTCAGAAGGAGTTTTTTGTTTTTGTTTTTGTTTTTTTTTTTTTCAGAAAACAAAATTGCAAAGAGAAGTATAAAAAACTCACAAAAGGTGACATTAACAAGCCGGTCACAAAGGAAACAGAAAAGCCCTTGATTTAGAGTTTTATAATATTCACAGACTAGTCTCCACGATGGCCACACAGGCTATTGGGGTTCTCTCTGTGTTTAGAGCATTAGTTGAAATTGGGAGACGCGGCCTGCAAGCCACCATTCTTACGTTTGCAGCCTTCAGGGCCAAATCCGAAGTGGTTGTTCTCACAGTGCTCACAGTGCTGACCAGTGATGCCAGGCTGGCACTCACACTGACCAGTGCGGATGTCACACTGCCCGTTGGTGGAACCCAAAGCATGGCAGTCACACCTGAAAAGAAACACAAGACATTTCTAAGGTAAGGAATGCAGATTGTAAGCAACATCCTCTATCAAAGGCAGGGTGTTATGGACCATTAGGTGGAATGTTAAGTCCCTAAGGTTCTAGCCCTTTCTGTGAGTGCTGCTCAGGGCTCTTTGGCAAGCCTCACCTGCACCAGGATGCCCCATTCTGAAACCCTACCGGCACTGACCAAGAACTGGACAGAGATTCCCAGGTCATAGTCCTGCCGAGTCTGTCTCCTATATCTTCTCATGCAGTGCTTTTCCTATGTAAGGCCCTCAAAAAAATTCCTGAACATCAAGTCAGCCACTAACTGTGACCTGAGAAACTGTACCTCTTGTGAACAGACAGAAAAGTCACTTCTCCCCTCCAAAGGCTCCAAAGCCTCACCTCTCACAGCCTTGTGATACAGACAGAAAAGGTCACTTCTCCCCTCCAAAGGCTCCAAAGCCTCACCTCTCACAGCCTTGTGATACAGACAGAAAAGGTCACTTCTCCCCTCCAAAGGCTCCAAAGGCTCACCTCTCACAGCCTTGTCCACTCTGCAGGTTGTAGAAGCCAGGGTCACAAGCGCCACAGTCCCGGCCCGACACATGAGGCAGACACTCGCACTGCCCAGTCACGGGGTTACAGCTGCTCTGTTGCTGCACGGTCCCGTAGGGATTGCAGGCACAGGCTGGGGGGGGGAAGACAGAGAAAGCAACAGATGCAAATCACCAGGGAGAACAGAGCACAGGTCTTTACGCCTGTGTTGTCAGGTGCAGAAGCCTCCCAGTCACATACAGTGTGTCTGGGTAATCTGGGCAGATGTGCCATCAATTGAAACACACACTGGCTTTGTTGATGTCCAGTGGGAAAAGAATACCCATTTCATTAACAGTTTTCAACTAATTATCAGCTGAAGCAATAAAATGGTGGTTATATTAGGTTAAATGAAATATATTAAAATGAATTCTCCTGTTTCACTTTTTTAATGTGGTGTCTAGCGATCTTAAGTTGTGCAAGTGGTTCACACCGCATTTTCACAGGCTAGTACTGCATTTGTGCAAACTTCCGTCAGTACTGAAAGAGACACACGACGAATGCACACATCAAGGTGTGTGCGCCCAAATCTGACAGTGGCTGACCTTTGCATTTGTCTGCAGGATTGGGAGCCAGGGGGTTGCCGAAAAACCCTTCTTTGCACCGGTCGCAGTAGAAGCCGGCGGTGTTGTAGATGCACTTCAGACACTCTCCTGTCAGGCGATTGCAGTTGCCAACTGCATTGGGGTCTATGTTGTCGTTACACTGGCATGGACGGCACAGTCTCACGGGCCCATTGCTGCCCAGAGGGTCTCCAAAATAGCCGTCATCACAGAGCTCACATCTCTTTCCTGGGAATGAGAGAATCAGAGGGTAAGGAAGAAAGGCCTGAGGCTCTCCTGCTGTGGATGACCAACGGGGACATACTGTCCAGTCTGGCCATAACATACAGGGCTTGTGCTACACACACAGTGGCTCAACAGTACCGTGCCAGTCCACAGAAGGAAAAGCCAGGTTCACAGCAGCTGTTCATTTAGGAGAAAGCAACACTAGAGCACTATACAGTTTTCTAAATTCATATTTCCTCATAGGCAGCCTTATCAAGACACCCAGGCTGTGGCCCCAACACTAGGCCAGACCAGTGGAGTGGCCTTGACATACTCATTCAGTAGGATGGTCCCTGGTTTATCTACTTCATTTCAAATTCTCCAACAACCAAGATCACATGTTAAAATTCTTGGTAAATGAGACAGGCTCAGGATTTACCAACTCTGTATTCCCAATGAATAGTACATCCACACAGGCTTTGGATGGACTTGAATAAGACGAAGCACTACTTTTGATGCTTTAAGTTTTCCAAACAACAGGATGAGCAGGGTCTTTCTTATCTTCTAAAAGGCATACACCATCCCTAGTTGAGCACTGCCAGCCAGTGTAAACTAGAGAGAGAACTCTAAAGGAGAACCAGGTACCGCACACTATCCTATGGGAGCTCTACTGACCAGCAGGAAAAAGGTGGAGCCAGACTCAGGCTCTCTCCACCATGCTCATTGCTCTCCTCCATCCTTTCGTTCCCTGCCATTGTCAGCTCAAGATGGGCTCTTGACATCTATGCAGCCAATAGGGCCTAAATGAGCCTAACATTTCTTAAGCTATTAATTCTGTATATTAATTCTCTAAACAACTGTAGGTGAGCGTCTGCTATGTGCATGGGCACTCTTCCAGGCTGTGAGTGAGTAGGTGTGGTCTCTGCTCCAATGACACTTAGGTTGCAGTTAGGGAGGATCAGCACACACACACACACACACACACACACACACGCACGCACAAGACTTCAATGGGGACAAGTACAACAGCATTAAACCAAACACAGCCAGCTCAAATGACAGTGAAGGCGAAGGCCACTGTAGACTCGGGTGAGACATTGGGATGAGAATGATGACAGAGAATTCTGCCAGGAAAATACCCATGGAAACGTTCTTGAACAAGGCCACACACAGAAACAGAACCAACAAACCCAAGTCAGAGCAGGGTGGCAGGAAGAAATCTGGATTTAAACTGAAGTGCTGTTTGTTTGTCTGTGTGCACACATGCCATGGCCTGACCATTGGGATCAAAGGAAAATTAGTGAGATTTGGTTCTCTTTCAACTGGGTGTGATCCCAGGGCTGAACTCGGGTCTGGAGGCTTGACAGCAAGTGCTTTCCTCATCTTAGTTCTTGGAGAGTTCTTACGTGGTACCATCACAGAGCACGGTTACACACATAATCTCAGCACTTGGGAGGCTGAGCCGGGAAGATCACAAACTTGAGGTCAGCCTGGGAGTTTTGGACCCAGAACTGCAGAGTAAGATGCCTCAGAAGAGAAAACACTGACAAAGTAACATAATCTGATTCCCTTGTAAAAGGATTATTCCGGCTCCTGCATGAAGAGCCGATCTCAGAAAAGCAGGTGAAGCAGGGAGCCCCATGAGAGAAACATCCTCGGCTGAGAGGCCACGGTAGCTAGACTGGGATAGCAGCAGTAAAGGAAGAAGAGGGAGGGTTGTTTCTAAGAAGTGAAAGAAAGAATCACCAAGTGTAAGCCCAGGGATTTTAGCTTGCACAGGCAGGTCGTGTAATCTAGAGACCACTGGAAAGAGAGAGGGTTAGAACTGGGGAAAAAAGATTTATCTGAGACTGTAGCTACATGAATCTGGAAAGAAATGGAGGAAATTAGCACATTCAGTTAGCATGGCTCTCAGGGTTTACTGAAGGGGCTGCAATACCAGGCTAGGTAGAGACGGGGACTCAAGGGATGAAGGTGACAGCCTGTGCTCCAGGCGGCATGGAGAGAGCAGCTGCCAGATCACAAGGTTGGAAGAGCTCTTGGGGTTACCTTTCAGAAGCTCAGAACTTCAACTTGGGGTCACCAGCCCTAAGGACCACATCAAGATGGGCCTTGAAATAAAAACTGCCCTCCTCCTCTCTGATCTCAGGTGTACGCTTCTGGCTACCCCAACTCCACGGGAGGCTGGATCTGACACAGCACACAGGTCTCATGGGGGTAGGAAAAGGTGGAGAGCAGATGCGGAGGGCAGACAGAATGCCTCCAGCCCTTCACGGGGGGGGGGGGGGGGGAGGAATGGGCTGTTACTCAGGAGAGGAAGCCCAGGACTGAGGATACGGATTTTGTAATCCCAGGCAGAAGTCTGAAAAGATCTGATCACCTCAGGGAGGACTGTGGATCAAACTCAGATGGAAATCCCCAGCTGAGATAAAGAGGTGACCAAATGGTAAAGGAGAAAAGAGAAGACCAAGGAGAGTGGCAGTTCTGACCGTGGAGGGACAGTCGGCGGGCACTGCCCAGCACGGCCACAGCACTGACTGCTGAGTACTACACCTGACAGACAGAATCAGGGGGCAATAAGCGGAGCCAAGGATATGGGAGGTGAGGTAGGACAGAAAACAGAATGCAGAACGCAGGAGACTAGGAATGAGGGACCCTCCTGGCCCTGCTGCGGGTAGCACCAGCCTCCCTCAGAGCCATCTCCACGTGAGCACAAGGGTAGCATTCCAGCCACGCTGATAATGCACTTACTCCACACATGATCTATGCTTCAAAAGCTTGAAACTTGCTTCATAGCAAACTACAACAGAGACACAAGGTAGCCTGCCTTTCATTTTAAAGTTAAAGATCACATTTCAAACCCTGCACTCCTTATTCAGCTTAGAGTGAGTGACACACTGTTCCAGCCCTAGCTTTGTCTTTCTGTCCTTCACAGCAGAGACAAGGGGAGCCAGGGAGGGGTCATGACCAACTCTGAAATACCGAAAGGATGATTTAAAAAATAATTTTAAAACTGCTATTTCACATTAACAATTCCAGACAAGCCTACGCTAAAGGCCAGCTTGGGTTCTCACGTTGAGAGAGATGACAGACCCAAAGCCTGGGTTGCAGCCGCCGCCCACCCGTGTCTCACCACACAGCCTTGGACGTGGCCCTCACTGTTTCTACACCTTTCTCCCTCCAAGGTTATGAGGACAGCTGAGGCAGGCCGTGCAAACGCTGACAACTCTACCGAACACTGAAGGGGGGGATGAGCAGGGCGCACTCACCGGCCGTGCCAGTTGGACAGTGTGTGCACACCACTTCCTTTGTCTTGGGAACAACGGCACAACTTGAGCCACCAGGGCAGGGACACGGCTGGCAGTCAGAGGAGGTGCCCAGGGTTGAATCTCCATAGTATCCGTCACTGCACTTCTCACAGTGAGGGCCATCTGTATTGTCTCTGCAGTTACAGACACCTATTTTGGGAACAGATAAAGGTAAGTCATTAGGTATGTGACATGTTAATCAATGGGTATCACTACTACTGGCAAAAGGACCATCGGGTCCAGCAGTGGCCTCAGGGCCTTCTCACCTGTCTCGGGGTCACAGGTCTCACTGTGTCCGTTGCAGGTACAGAGCACACATGGGCTGTAAGGTCCAAGACTCGGAGTTTCTCTTCTGTAGCCTGAGAGGCACATCTCACAGAACTGCCCTCCATACCCCACGGGACAGGTGCAGGACTCCACCCAAGTTGCAGGGACTCCAGGCCCAGGACGAGCACTTGCCAAGGTGACATCATCCAAATATCCAGCACCTGTTTGCGTGTGGGAAAGAGAAACACTGAAGTGCCTTCCAGGGTCCAAACGCTTATGAAAAGCCAGCAACGTGTAAGAGCCAGACCCAAGAGTCCAGACAAAACTGACGATGACCTGATGTCATAACCAGGAATGATAACCGGAAAATAGCATTTAAGACAACTAGGTGGTACAGGATGCTAAGCACACGGAGGAGAGGTATGGCAAATTTATATACACACAGAGAGACTATATAGCTCTGACAAATATGCAATAACCCCAAAGCCATTATGCCATGTCAGAGTGCGCTTCCATTCCCATAAGGACAACAAGGCTTACACTGAGTTAGACGATGGTCCATTGATCTAGCAGAACCAGAGGCAATGTTCTAAGGGTATAAACATAGGCTCTGGAGATGCTATCATGTTTCCCTTTAATTCTATTCTACTGGAGTTCTCCACAGACTTTTGCTTACAGTACATTCCTTCCATGTTATGGAGCATTACTTCTGTTTATATAATTCACGTGGAAACTGACTACCTAGGCCAAAGGATACTTACAGTACTGGCTTGAACGTAGCTTTTAGTATGCTTCTGGTTTTTGCCAGTCAGATCATGAGTTATGATGTGCTTCTAATATCTAAACATTCTTACAGCTCCCTGACCTAAAAATACTCTTCTTTCAATCTTGCTCTTACTCCTAAATGATAACTCATCTCTTTTTCTCTCTTGCAGCCAAACTTCAAGAGAATATTCTTCATTTTACCGTCTCTCATTCAAAATTACCTTTCAGGGAGTCCAGCGATCTTCCTCTGAGCCACTAAGTTTCACCATGGAGCCAAAGCCAACCTCCTCGCCAGAGGCTTCTCAACCCCCACCTAAAACCTGGTGGTGGTCTTATCCTCAACCTCCAATTATTTTCTTCTCCAAATTCTTTTCCTCCCTTGGCCTCAGGGCACAGCCCTCCATTGTGTTTCTAGGATTCCATTCCCTTTCTCTGTTTTCTGCCATATTTCTAAGTGTAAAAGTAAATATCCAAAATGTGGACACAATCTACATTTGTAATTCAGACTTCTTCCAAGGGCTCAGATCCGCATTAGCAATTACTCACAAGACATTTTTTATATGGACACTCATGCAGAGAGCTCAAAAGCAAGCAAACCCAAGATATCCAAGCTGCAACCTTCACATTACCAAAGGGGAAAAGTCCTCATCAGTAAGTGCTTGAAGGCATATTTTTAAACTTTTATATAAAATTAAAGCAAATGTTCACTGGATAGTATATGATTTCTCATAATTTAGCCAATAGTTCAAATCACTTGATAATTACATGGCAGTAAATAAAAAGAAATGAAGATTAAGCAAGCTGAACCAGACTTTAAGAAAATCTATATATAATGGAATTTCAATTGGCTTATTAATTATAAAGTAATACTGTCACTGAATATTCTCCAGATCCTTGATGATGGTTTCAACGCGCATTTTAATACACAGTTGATAACAGTCTGGACCAGTGTGAACATATCAGAACATGAGTCTTCCTACCTCACCATCTTAATTATTCCTAAACTGTACCACAACTTACTCCTCTCACTGTACGTGCCCCGGATCTTGATAGAGGTCAAGTTGTTTAGGAGCTTCTGAAATTCAAAGGGGGAGAGAGTGGGCCTCCAAGGGTAATCTGCTGCTTCATGGAGCCTGGAGAGATAGAAAGAGCACATAACCTCTATAAGAAGAGTCTGCAAGGAGGCTGTTCTGCTCAGTGATGCCACTGCAGGCAATACCGACACGCTAACCAAATAAAGGAGAGCATTTCCAGTTTCTCAGACAACTAGAAAAGAGAAGATAAAGGAAGGTTCACCTCAATAACCCAGAAGGTTTTTTTTTTTTAACAGAGAATTTTGATATGTAACCTAGGCTGGCCTTAAGCTCTTGGAAATCCCCTTAACTCAACCTCCAATGGTCTAGGACAACAGGCATGAGCCACTACCTCTAGCCCAGAAGTTTTTCTTTAACATACACCTTGAGGCCAGATCAACTCAGATGAAACAAACACGAAACCCCCACTTTTTCTTTCTCCGTTGTCAGGTCTGAGTTGACAGAGAGCACCGTCTCACCTGAAGATGTACTTCACAGCAGTCTCACTAGGATAGGAATTGCCCTGGGCGATCAAGGGCACGGAAACTCTCAAGCCAGCTCCCTCAAGCACGAGATCTTCTGCAGAGAGGCGAGTGTCCCGTCTGTCCACTCTGAAGGAGAAGGAGAGGTTCTGCCCGTAACTCAGAACCTGGTTACCCAGGAACTTGGCTGAAAGGCAGATATCAGGCTGAGTCAGAATGTGAGACCAAGACAAAGAGAAGCACCCAGACATCCACGTTGCCTTCCGGCCTCACTTACCAGGGGCGATGAAGTACCTAGGAAAGTAACTGTCTGAGATCACGGCGATGTCCTGCCTATCTGAGGACCACTCAAGAGATGCCTCCGAGCCATCTCTCTGTTCCACACGCCACCCATCCTCATCTGCCGGTAGAGAATGAAGACACAGGCACATTTACATGACAAGCATCCTATACGTAAGCCCACAAAATGTGACACTGCACCTTATATAGAGAAAAATCATCAATAAAAAATTTTGACTCTAGACCTATATATACGCTATCCCCGAAAGATACATTTTGCTGTATTTTTAATGAAACATTTGTAGTCAACTGCTTACTACAGTCAGTGCTCTAAAACCATATGTATGTTTTCATTAAAGGGCCACACAAGGAAAAAAAAACACATTAAATAACATCAAACATTTCTAGTATCAAAAACCCTCAAGTTACTGATTCAAAAACTACCCATGTAGCACTGGTCTCAGAGCTCTAGGGGCCCGAGAGTTGAATCAGGGCTGAATTACCAATCTGAAAGGTGGAGGAGATGTCGTAAACACTGTAGCCAGCAGCATTTGTGCACACAGAGGAATGCCCGAAGCAGAAGCAGGGTGTGCAACCCTTAGGATTAGATGATTCCAGATTAAAGAATCCAGGCTTGCATCTGAAAGAGATGAAGGCAGCATCAGTCACCGGTTTCACCCAAAATCTGACACCTTGAGAACAACAGTTTGAGAAAGATGGAGCTACCTCTCACAGCTGAAGCCTTCAACATTGTCTTTGCAGACACATCTTCCTGTTTCGACATTACATTCATCTGTGCTGCCGGATGGGTTACAGGAGCATGGCCTGCTCAGCGGGAACGGAATAAAACAATGATGAAAGGGACCTACTCTTGGAGCCAAAGGCTTTAAGTAAAGGACAGAGTGAACTCCTGCTACTTTTAAATTTGGTTTCAGAGGAGAATGTTCATTGCCCATGATGAGACCTAACACTGTGCACAGTAACTTCAATCACTAAAACTCTGTACTCTCCAAACCCCAGGGGCATCATCATGGTAGTCTTGAAGCTTGCTGACCATCCCTGCTGGGAAAATGTTCCCACTTTCCTGCTCAGATTCAGGACCAATCTCTGGTTCTGAAAACATTTACCTGCATCCTGCCTCGGTGAGGGAATGGAATCCAGGCTGGCAGCGGTCACACTTGTCACCCATCACTCCTGGCTTGCAGCTGCATCTGCCGTAACTGTCGCACTGTGTGCTGAGAGAACCTAAGAGTCAACGAGTTCACGTTCAGTTCCACATCTGGACAGTGTCAAAAAAAAAACACGAGCAGAAGCTAAAAACAATACCTGATGGCCCATATGTAATCTCTAGATGCTCAGAGAAAACAAGGACCAAATTCCAAACTAGAGCTCTCTGTAAATCATAGCTTCATGAGCCATAAAAGTTTAGTTTTTTACCTCACTCTCGAACAAAACAGTCCCCAGGGATACACTGTGTACAAAGGCCAGTCACCTCTCTGGCCAGCACACATTCCTTAAGATTCTCATCTAGAATTTCACTATACATCGGCACAAACAACAAAATATTAGCCTAATTCAAAAAAAAAAGCACAAGCGACAAATGCTGTGTGTCTCTAGACACACACTAACATGATGGACACAGCTCAGCCCTCTGAGGAGATTAGACTAAACAAAATCATTAACAAGTGGAAGCCTCCCTCAGGCAAAGTTCAGATGGTCTCTATGACCCAGCTGCTAATTATTTACAGAACTACTACTTCTTCTATACACACTAGAAAATGATCTGAAAGTTCAACTTCGTCAGAGTGAAAGAGAGGCGTGGGGGCAGGACGAGGCATTAGAAGGCGAGAGTAGCATACATACTGCCGCCCTTAACTGTGCACATGTATACTGCCGCCCTTAACTGTGCACACGCATACTGCCGCCCTTAACTGTGCACACACATACTGCCGCCCTTAATTGCGCACACATACTGCCGCCCTTAACTGCGCACACATACTGCCGCCCTTAACTGCGCACACATACTGCCGCCCTTAACTGCGCACACATACTGCCGCCCTTAACTGCGCACACATACTGCCGCCCTTAACTGTGCACACACATACTGCCGCCCTTAACTGTGCACACACATACTGCCGCCCTTAACTGTGCACACACATACTGCCGCCCTTAACTGTGCACACACATACTGCCGCCCTTAACTGTGCACACATACTGCCGCCCTTAACTGCGCACACACATACTGCAGCCCTTAACTGTGCACACACATACTGCCGCCCTTAACTGTGCACACACATACTGCCACCCTTAACTGTGCACACGCATACTGCCGCCCTTAACTGTGCACACGCATACTGCCGCCCTTAATTGCACACACATACTGCCGCCCTTAACTGTGCACACGCATACTGCCGCCCTTAATTGCACACACATACTGCCGCCCTTAACTGCACACACATACTGCCGCCCTTAACTGTGCACACACATACTGCCGCCCTTAATTGCACACACATACTGTCGCCCTTAACTGTGCACACATACTGCCGCCCTTAACTGTGCACACACATACTGCCGCCCTTAACTGCGCACACATACTGCCGCCCTTAACTGTGCACACACATACTGCCGCCCTTAACTGTGCACACACATACTGCCGCCCTTAATTGCACACACATACTGCCGCCCTTAACTGCACACACACATACTTCCGCCCTTAACTGCACACATGCTCAGGATGCCAAGCTTTTTTCTGGGTTCGGGGGACTCCTGTGCCATTTCACTGCATCCAGTAGAACGGCTCCTTCCTGTCACTCACCAACAGGACTGCAGTGGCATGGAAAGCAGGCTTCAGTGTTCCCAAGGCGGAAGAAGTTCTCCCGGCACCTCTCACACTTGGCACCATCAGTGTTATCCCGGCAGTTGGTACAGTGGCCACCATGTCCAGTAGAACGGTATAGCTCAGGGTCAAAGTAGCATTCTTGGGATCGACCATTGCAGTCACAGGCTATAGATCAAAACATACAAGTTATATCAGATGTGTATACCTTTAAAAAGAAATGTACATGTGTATCTGAGTGAATGCCGTGTGTGTGTGTGGGGGGGGGTGCCTACAGAGGCCCAAAGAGCTGTCAGATGCCCTGCAGCTAGTTGTGAGCCACCTAATGTGTGCTTTATTGGGAATAATCTCTGGAAGAGGATGAGAGTTCTTGACCTCTGAGTCATCACTATGCCCCCCCCCCAGACCTGCATACTTTTAAGAAAGCATTTTAAAAGACCCCAAGAAACCAAATCACAATTCCCTACATCTCTGTGGCAGGTAATATAGAACAACTACCAGGCACATTGTTTAAAGAAAACCAAGTAGAAAACCAACTTTAGATAGCCTGATGATCACTTACTAGGAAATATCCATCCTTATAGAAAATGAATAATCATACACACACACACACACACACACACACACACACACACATATATATATATATATACTCAGAAAAGAATCTGTCTCCTAGTAGCTATTAATCCATAAGATCTGAGTCAAATGATCCATTTTCTAACTGTCTATATAGTGTTGGCTGGTCTGGAACTCACTATGCAGAACTGGTCTTGAAGAGACAGAGATCTGCCTGCCTCTGCCTCCCCAGTGCTGGGATAACAGTGTGCACCACCACGCCCATTTTTCTAACTTTGTGTCCTCTACTTGTAGTAGTGACAGGGAAAACCAGGCACTAATTTATCATGCAGCTTTAACATCTTTTCCTCAAGAATCCAAACACATTAAGACGTTAGCTTTCAAAGGGCCAGATTACTCTATCCGGACTAGGGACCATGAGACATGTAGGTTTAAATTAGCACGCCGGACGATGAAAGCAGAATTACGGGGCAGTCCGGACCTTTAGATCCATCTGCTGCAGAACCACAGCTCCAACTAAATCATCTGTTAAACACAACAGTATCTTAAGAGTAAGTAGCTGGCCGGGTGTGGTGCACAGCACTCAGAAGGCAACTCTATGAGTCTGAGGTCAGCCTGGTCTCCACTGGGAGTTCCAGGCCAGAGCTACACAGTGAGATCCTGTCTCCAAAATAAACAAATAAATATTTGTGGTCACAGAGTTCTTATTTCTGTTTATAGTAAAATGATTTTCTCAAACTTAACCTGTCCAAAGCATATATAAGTTCTTAGTCACCACACAAAAACAAAGTTTTGCTTGGTTTATGAGAGAGCTATTAACTATTTTTTAAAAACATTTGAATATATATTTTCTTTTTCTGTACAATATAGATGACTACAGAATTACAACTGAAAACATTTTTAGAAACTTGAATTGCTGGCCCCAAGACATGGAGTTTTATTAAATCATCTTTCAGTGCCTACCCCTTCTCAATAGCTGTTGTATAGTGCCCCCGCTTCACTGACTACTTCTCTTTCCCTGAGCTGCCCTCCCTCACCCTGCAGTCAGCCAGCCCTGCTGAGTAGTGGGCTGGTGCCAAGATCATGACGCAGAACAATTCCCATGCCCACTCTGCTCCAACCCAAAGTTACAGCACGGGCTGTGCCTCTCATTAACAGCTGGACGAGAGAAGGCAACTGGATTGTTCTCTGTCTAGCCCCAGTGTCCCAAATGGTCATCTATAGTCATGTGACTACTTCACCTGAATGGTTAGTGCTGAGGAGACTGTGGAGGGGGGCAAATTCAGTGAGCTCCTTATCAAACTCCGTTAGCTGCCATAGCTGCTTCGTGTCCTAGTGGTAAACACTATTTTGTTTGTTATTTCCTGCATAAACTAGAAATATGACATCCATATGCACACAACTTTACAAACGCAAGTGTGTTTAGATGATATGTTTTAGGAGTGTTTCATGGCTCTTACACCAGTCCTCATCTTACAACATCCAATTACATTAGTGTGGCAATGGGGCTGAAGGATCTCACTGGATGCTGGGAAATGCCAGAGGGAGCTGTAAAGTTTATCAGCAGCTCGGGGATTTGTTGAGAGAAAGGGAAGATGCACAATAAATTCTGCTCAAGGCAGCTCAACAAAAACAGTCGTAAACGAGCAGGTGGGGCCTTCTCAAAGCACTGTGGTAACTACTGTACATACCCAGTGTCCTTTTCCTTACTCCTTTGATTCCCACACTGATGAAAGACAGAAGAACACTGTGGTTGCTTTAAAGTTGGTTTGTATTAAGTCTTGGGAAAATCATGACTCTCCTTGAGTTTCCCTCTCAGTCTGTTCAGAACAAGTCATGGCACTATGAAGGCTAAATAATTGTTAATTTCTTCATTGTGACCTTTGCTAGGGCACAGGGCTTATCCCTCCTTCCAAAGTCACTCAGATTTCTAGGCCATGTTTGGGTAAGTTCTTCCCACTTTTCTCTTTAGATAAAGGAAAAATGATTTTTGCAAATTAGCTCATTGTACCTGGCATACACTAACCAGCTGGCTGCTTAGTGAGTGAGCACTGATGAGGAGATGACTGTCTGTACCTGGAGCCACACCGACTCCGTCAACTGTCAACAGAGAGTATTGGGGGGCGGGGGTGGTGTCAGTACTTAACGTATGTACAGACTTTCTTTATTGTCACATGGCATTTGCATTGTATGCCCTCAGTAACCTGCAGATGACGAGCATGGGAGAGGGTGCATGGTCACGCGCAAACACTATACCATTTTATACAGCGAGCTTGGACATTTATGAACTTTGGTATCTAAGGAAGGCTCTGGAACCCATTTCCTGTGAATACTGAGAGATGGTTGGTTTTAAAGGGCCATGATGATTACAGAGATCACTGACCCAGTATTTGAATCTATGCAAACTTCTGAACCTTGGTGACTCTATTCCCTAGCCGATGTTCATGATGGAGACAAAACCATGTGGGTTTATTCACGAACAACTTCCTTCATCCATCATTTCCCACTGGTGAGAGTGTGGTTTAGCTCCCTGCCCCAGCAGTGCCTTTCAGAGTTTCCACCAGTGAGGAAGTCACCCATCCCTTCTTCCAGGGATAACCCTAAGACAAGGTGAGCGGCACTCACGCAGGCATTCGCTGGCGCTCTCGGCGGTTGCCCTCCTCCACGGCCGGTCATTGAAGAAAGGCAGGCACTTCTCACAATCAACTCCATATGTGTTATGTTTGCAATTGCATACCAGTTTGCCAAATTCATTCTTTACACACTCACTGGCATGTCCGTTACACTTACACCTGGAAAGAGAAGGGGCAGGCAACAACAGGATCACTGGAAGGTCCTAGAACAATGCAGAGGGAGTGTGCATACAAAAAACCAGAAGCAACCTAAGAATTCTTTGAATTTTACCATTCAAAAGTATAAACTGAGGAACTTCACAAGGATAAGTTGACACACACGCACGCACACTCACACAAGATGAAACATTAACTAGACAGAAGAAAGTCCCTAATATTTTCCAAGAACACCAGCAGGATATTTCCTAATGTCAAGACTTCCAGGAAGCAGCAGAAGACGGTAGCTAAGAATTACATAAAGTCTGACACCAGGTCACTTGGGTTTGGAACCTCTCCCTGCCACTTACAGTGTGCCTAAAGCCCACCTGTCAGACAGACATGATGAAGTCTCTCTCAAAGCCCCTGGGAAATGCCCAGTTTCTGCATACAGGACTAAAGAGAACGTAAGTTAAAACATATGGCAGAAATTCACCCTCATGATTAATGCTTCCCACCAAAGGAAGTAAGATGCTGACTTTGACAATAAATTCCCCACAGATGTCCAGTAGACAGATTATTCACTTGGGCTTTCCTGGGGCAGAGGTCACTGAAGGATCCCCCTGGAGGCAAGTATAGTAATAAGAACCCAAGGAAACTCACAGATATATGAATGTGGCTGGAGCAGAGACATTCTCTCACTCGCTTCCTTTAAGAGCAATTCTGTAGCTCCAGCTACCACCTAAAAATGCCTGTGCACACTGGAATCATCTTCAATGTGTAGAGATCAATCCTGGTCTTAGAACCCTGTTCCCATCCTTCTCCAAGGCTCCTGTCCTAAGTGGTTGTACAAACTTAATGTCTCCTATAACCTAAACTCCAAAAGTCTAAGACCAAATGTATCATCTTCTCCAGGTTAACCCACTTTCTAAATTTAGTAATGGTACCACCGTTCTCCTGATCATTAGACCTTGAGAGCATCTTTGACTAAAGACCTGGTAATTTTCCCTTCACAGCAAAATGCATCTCTGCATCCCTTTTGATCTGTCAGCAGCCTAATGTCAGGCGTTTGTTGTTTAATATCCAGATTATACAGCATCAAAGCAGGAATAGAAATTCCATCAGCCACACTGTCCTTACTCTGTTAGCACACTGACCCTAAACATTTTGTGAGTTGATTCTGCAGGCCAGCGTATAAAGTAATGGGCTTCATAACTATGCACCACTATACATACACTCTCTCCATACACTCATCTTCCTAACCCAGCTTTGATTTATAGCCTCATGTCAAACACTGCCCAATTTCTCATGGTTACATGTCAAACCTATCTCCCTGAGCATGCCAGGAACACCAGATGCACAAATAATTTTTCTGCTTCATAGAGACCTTATGGGGAATACAAGGGAAGAACGTCCATGACCATAACTCCATCTTTCTGGTTTACAGTCCTGCAAAGAGATTTTCTTCCCATCAAGTGAAATTACACTCTCTGAACTCTGCTGAAATACACCCATCTTCCTGCACTCACTGCAGACACCTCCTACCTGTTATTTAAGACCCACCCAGATGCCACCTGCTCCTCTAGCCTTGCAGTTCTGTTTCTTGATTCATGACACTTTTGTTTAGAACACATGGGCACACTAGCACAAGCTGAGCAACCCCCACTCCAAGTGCCCGGGAAGGGAAGTTTTTGGTTTCTTCTTTTCCTCTCTTTCTTTCTTTCTCTCTCTCTCTCTCTCTCTCTCTCTCTCTCTCTCTCTCTCTCTCTCTCTTTCTAAAACAGACTGCTATATCTTGGGAGTGGGACCAAGTCACAGCACAAACTTCATGGCCTGAAGGTAATTTTCTACAACCCTGGGGACCAGCATGTTGACCACTTGTTATGTCACCTGAGCATCAGGAAATATCAAGCCTTGTGTGCTGCTTAGTTAGTTTTTCTATCAACTTAGCATAAGCATGGGACATCCTGGAAGAGGGACTCCCCCAAATGAGAAAAAGACTCCATCAGACTGACCGGTAGCTAAGTCTGTGGGTATTTTCTTGATTAATGATTGATGGGAACGGCCTAGCCACCATAGGCAGGGCTAGCCCTAAGTGGTCTTAGACTGTATAAGAAAGCAAGCTGAGCAAGCCATGAAGAACAACCTAGTAAGTAGCACTCTTCCAGGGCTCAGGCTCCTGCCCTGCTGGAATTCCTACCCTGACTTCTCACTGACAGACTGTGATCTGAGAGCTGTAAGATAAATAAACCCCTTTCCTCCCCGAACATGCGGTTTATCACAACAGCAGAAAGCAGACTAGGACAGCTTAAGCTTGTGGATCAGAGATGCTCAACCTATATGTGAATTTTCACATATTTACAGATTGCTCTTAACTCATTTGTAAGATCTTAGAAGGTCAAGGCTTCTCCCTTAGCTCAGCAGGCTCTATTACTGGATTCTGGACTTAAAGGGTCAGTGGGTGTGGACTTAAAGTTTCAGAACACCCAATTGCTTAGTTTCCAGAATAAGATCTGATAAGAAAAAAATTTCTAAATTGTAGCTTGCCTTTCTAGATCCACATGGTCCCTAAATGCTAATAAAGTCATAAACAGTTCTACATCAAAGTTCCAATCCTTGTTTACTCACCTGCCGCCCACTGCGAAGTCTGAGATTGCATAATAGTAGGACTTGAGAACTTTGGGGTCGTTAAACACTTCATCTCCAAAAGTGTTCAGGCGGTTGAGTGTTACTCTGATGTCAGTAGCAGTTACCCATTCCTGCCAGAAAGGGGGAAATGAGTAAATGAGTGAATGAATGAATGAACACATAAAGAGAAGCAGAGAGACTGAAGATGAGAAACACATTTGACAAAATCTTCTACTAAATAGTTCATATGCTAATACAGAACCTATTATGCTAAATCATTGAATATGCTGGACTAACTTTAACTCCCTGATATTCTCCCTGTGGCTCGTCTGTAGTTAGCACAGTCACTACACCACCTCATCCAAAGGCGAGAACACTGCTGGCTTCTTCCCTAGGAGACAGAAAGGTCTGAACGAAACACACAGCCCCGTGACCAGGAGAAACCTCCACTCCTTGCTTCTCAGTCTACAACTGAGCTGCAGCCAGGTGTACCAGCTCAGATCACATGCACGCCACACTTGTTCTAGCACGTGTGTCCCTACACACTGCTTCCCATCTAGTTCTGGCTCCTAGCCTGAATCCCACTGCTGTGGGGCAGGTAGGTAACCTAAGCACAGGTAATGTCTGAGTACACGGACCCAGACCAGCCAAACGCAGTTAGTTCTGTGTTTGTCAGCATCTTTCCCACGACATGGCCTGTTAGATCTTCCCTGGCCAATCTTATTTTTTTTTTTTTTATTTTCGAGACAGGGTTTCTCTGTAGCTTTTTGGTTCCTGTCCTGGAACTAGCTCTTGTAGACCAGGCTGGCCTCGAACTCCCAGAGATCCGCCTGCCTCTGCCTCCCCGAGTGCTGGGATTAAAGGCGTGCGCCACCACCGCCTGGCGCCTGGCCAATCTTAAAACTATCACCACCCCATTGGTTTGTGTATATCATCCATCTCAACACTGCCTACAACACCCGACTGAAGGTGTCAGAAGGGTAGGAAATTTTGCCCATTTTATTCAGTGTTGTGTCCCTCATACTTGGCACAGAGTGAACGAATCTGCATCTGATCAGACTGAAGGTATATCATAACAATTCTAACGGAGCACCAAGAACGAAGGCTGCGCGATTACCCCTGGTTTTAGGATATCTAAGCCCTTATAATAAATGCCCTTTCGATCAGCTAACTTTATCAGGTGCTTACAGGCGTGGCACACTGCTATCATAATGACCCAATGACCTGCCTGCCAGTGCTACACCCCGTGCAGGTCCCGTCCTTGCTGACTCTGGGTTTGGATGTATTCTCAGCTTTGGCCAAGGGGACATCAGCCAATATGACACAAACAGAGGCTCGATAAGGACTATTCATGCCCTCACTGTGAAAAGCCTGGGCTGGTCTCTGAACATGGAAGATCACAGGGGAAAAGAAAGATTCAGTCCTCGGTTGACCTGCTGGGTGAGTGAGCTCAGACCAAAGATAGCACTTCTACTCCAGTCCAGGAGACCGACTTAGGAACAATGTGTCAGAATCACCCTCAATCTGTGTCCAGCAAGCGGAGCGGTTACAGCAGGCATTTATGCTTCCAGAGGGCTCTTAGAGACCAGCAAGCCCACTCCTGATAAAGAACCACTACCTTAAGCTATGCCAAACACCTGGCAACAGGGAAGGCTCATAAAAAAAACTAATCTCCATGAAGCTTCAAGTATAATTAGAAAGGAAAAGATGATGATTTCACTGCATCCAATCTTGGAACTCAATAACAACTCCCACTCATGGCCACAATGGTAGGAATCTGTTAGTTGTCCATAACGTAGATAGCTAAAAACACCTCTTAAAGCTTCTAATACCTCCTCCAGGCTTCAGCTCTACCACAGCTCCCTCTACAAAGAAGATGGAGAGCTCTCAGGGTGTCACTAGGACAACTGCTTCACCATGAATATCTAGACTGAACAGAGTCCCAGGCTCAGTTCTGCCACTGACCACTGTGAGATGGGCACTTTACGTCCTTTCTCAGCTCTGATTCCTCATCTATAAAAAGGAAGACAATACAATATCCAACCTACAGAGTTACAAGAATTAAAAGACTTAATACATTTAGACATCAGAACGCGACTCAGTCTCTGTGGCTGAGAACATGCTGCACTGCAGCACAACTAAGTGCACAGCAGATGCTAAGAGCTACAAATTAACACAGGCTGACACTCAGCCAGTGGAACCTGAGACAGTCTCCTCCTCCATCTGGGAAAAGGCAGTTCACTCTTATCAGCTAGAAGTCAAATCTGCTCACCCGACTTGGCTCCAAGTGATGAGAGCCAGGGCTCTTATATCCAGACACACATAGTTAAAGCTACTGCACAATGAAACCAACTCACAAAATTTATGCAGACGCCGAAAGCATTCTTACCACAGAGTCTCACTAGTTTCTGTGGCATAAAGAATAGCTAACAGCAGAATCCCTGCTGGAAGCTGCTCAAGACAGGCTGAAGCACACGCGGCAAGGGGAGCTGCTAGAGACACTGATGGGCACGGGACAAGGGGAGCTGCTAGAGACACTGATGGGCACGGGACAAGGGGAGCTGCTAGAGACACTGATGGGCATGGGACGAGGGGAGGAGCCAGAGAACTACTCTTTCCTACTGGTCCCACTGCAGTCTCTCCAGGACAGGAAACACAATCAACTGGACAAAGAAACAAGGCTAGCAGATGTCTGCTTTATCGCCTTTCCTAAGGTTTTCTTTCAGTGTTTAGCCATTCCATCTGTCCAAACCAGTTACCCACTCTGCCACTTACTTTGTCGGCACCACAGGAACTCTTTCCTGAAAGGCCTTGGTAAATAACTGGATTTACCTTCATATTCACCATCTCCTGACAGCCTAAAAGAGCACAGTGGATAGCGGCCTGGAGACACAGCAAAACATATTTTCATCTGTGGCTTTGCCTAAATTATACAACGAAACCAGAAAGCGTCCTTGACTATAAGAATAAATTGTAGGGCTAGAAAGATGGAGCAGTGGGTGGGGAGCTTGCTGCCAAGCCTGACGACCCTAGTTCAGTCCCCAGAACCAACACGGTAGATGGTCTTGCATGTGGTCCCCTGACCTACACGTGGGTAGTACAGTGTACACATGTGCTCTCACATCACATGTTAGTAATTATAGTAAAAATAGTGATTATAATAAAGTCCAGAGACGGAGTGAGATTTCAGAAAAGCAGGAGGTTCCACGAAATTGGCATAGCGTCTGCAGAGTCCCATCCAGGCCTTCCTTCCCTCCTCAGTCAGTGAGTATATATAGACCACCTCCATTTAGACACTAACATCACCATCTAAACAGGTACGACATCGGGGTCTGAATCAACAGACTAAGAATGACACAGGGATCCCCATTCTTCCAGAACCACACCACCAGAACATGTGGAAAGTTTAAAGAAAGCTGAGCCACACACAGAGAATCCATACGAGGGTACACAAGGAATGTGCATCGAACTGGTGAAAGAAATCTTTGATTTGGTCTGTAAGGCAGGGGAAAGTTTCTAATGTGATGTTTAAGCACAGTACCAAAGTACCCTAACATATTTCCCATCTCTAGAACTCAACTTTGCAGGTGAAGAAGAAAGAGTTCTCATAGTAACGATGACCAGCACAGACAAAATGTCCTTGTGTGGTAAGGAAGCCATTCTTAGGTACTTAAATAGCTTGCAGCAATTGCTCCCCATTGCTTGCATATATATTTTAGTTTGTCAAATCAAGGAGCAATTAGGATAAAATGCAAGAAAATGGGAAGATTATTTCAAATATCTTATTTTACTTATTTTGGGAAGGCACAGGCCAAAAAGAAGGCTCAGTAGGTGAAGGCACCTGCCACCAAACCTAATGTTCTCAGTTCAGTCTCTGGGATCCACAGGGTAGAAGGAGAGAACCAACTTCCATTTGCTGATTTCCTCTGAGCTACATACATGTTCTATTGTGCTTGCCCCCACACACATACACAAATTTTAAAATGTAAAAAAAAAATTACAGTCTTTTAAAGACAGTATCTCATATATTCCAAGCTGGCCTTGAACCTGAGACAGAGCTGGAGATGATCTTAAACTTCTGATCTTCCTGCCTCCACCCTCTCCTGGCTTAGGAGGTGCTGGAAATTAAACAGTCTACAAACTGAGTCATATTCCCAGCCCTACACCAACATCTTCTTGAAAAAGTCAGAAGTGAAATGTTCCCTCCTGAAGTGCAGAGACGAAAGTCAGAACTGCTCAGTGTTAATACAATCTGCAGTGTAGCTGAGTGTGGTGGTGAGCACCTATTCTCGGCACTGGGGAGGAGGCTGGGAGGTCAGGAGTTCAAGGTCATCCCCAACTGCACAAGGGCCACCTCAAAATATTAAAGCTTGTTTTTGTTTGTAAAGGTTAAACCCTGGGGTATGTTTTCAAGTGGGAGGTATACAGGACCAGTGTCTCCCAGGCGGTGGGAGAAAATGGCTTTTTTTTCACATATAGATAGCACACATGGACATAGCATGAAATCTAGCTGCCCATGAGATGGCTCACTTAGATAATTTCCATTCTCAGTCAGGGGAGGACAGCCGGCTCCCACACCACCTGTGAGTGCCTACCTGCAGCACAGGGCTGTTGTCAAAGTTGTAGGCACTCGGCCTTCCTTCCAGGGTTGAAAAGGCCACGTTGCCCCCGGTGAGGGGGGAAATGTCACTGAATTCGTCAGTGCACAGGGCCTGCTGCTCGTCCCCTCCGGTCCTGATGAAGCCACGGTTGGCCTTGGAGTAGGTGTTCTCACAGGAGCCGCTGTAGTACTGGTAAGGAATCCAGGGCCCGTCCTCCCGAGTGCGCTTGTAGATGGCGAAGCTCTCTGGGCGGCTAGTGTGGAACTTGAGACGCACGTAAGTGATGTCAAAAGCCTTTCCTGTGGAAGAGACACACCAAAGTCCTTAAGTTGTGTGGAGGAAGAGAAGAAACGCCTCTATTCCAAACTAGGCCTGGGGCTTGATGAAGAGGGGCCCGGCATTAGACCACAAAGACCTCAACACACCCAACACAGTGGCTGGACTATTCTAAACCTGCACGTTGTCTAAACAATGTGCAAAGCACAGTCGGCTTCCTACCGTTGGTTGTGAGAACTTGTGATGTAAGTACAATACTAATGAATTTCTAAATAAAACCAAAAATCCCCCTATTCTTAATGCTGCTGTTTCAGTGAAAGCTTAATTAAGAGCTATTAAAAACCGTCTGAGGCCTTTTAAAATGGGTACTTTCTATACTTTACAAACCTTATTTTTTATTAACTACAGCGCTTCTCTTGGTGCAGGAAGAGTGTCCACAGAGCTACTCTCTTATCCAACCCAGTGGGAAGGAGAGTATTTGGGACATGAACAGGAAAGCTCAACAGGAGACAGAAGAAGAAAGAGAAAGGCATCTTCAAGAGGATATATCTGAGGATGTTCACAAGAGAACACGTGAGAAGCAGTTCTGAGGCACAAAGGGCAAAAAGAGTCAAGGGGCTGCCTGCCCTCTAGAAGCAGTCACGGGGTCAGGCGGGTCCCTGAGCAGTCCGAGCACGGCCAGTGGTTGGGACGGCATGTCCTCAGACAATATGCAACTATTTAATCACCACCCATGCACTCACTAGGCCTATCTTTTATACCACCTATGCCCTGCTACTGTGTTATACCAGAGACAACGATGACCACAGATGGGTCCACAGGACTCTGAGCTCAATCCACACTCAGTCCCGTGCACACCAGGCACAGGATATGTCCAGAAAACATCTTTGCTCTCAAGGAGCTTGCATGTACCCCCCACAAGTCAATCATCTCTTAGAAGGAAAAGACTACCCTTACCTTCTCCTATGGAGAACCCTCTAAAATGCTGGGAAAGAGACTACTCTGAGTCCAGGCCATATCCTCCAACCCAGCTTTATCTACACTAAAACTGACTTTCTCAACTAGTTCGGATCATAGAAGGGATTTAATAATAGTCGCACACACACACACACACACACAAACACACACACAGAGAGAGAGAGAGAGAGAGAGAGAGAGAGAGAGAGAGAGAGAGAGAGAACACAACCAAACTTGGACTGGGCACCGTGAAGCCTGGCCCCTTTACTCACTAGCTATCTGATTCCGATGTAGCAGCTTCTCTTTTATAAAGATGAGGAAAATCCTGCCCCATCCACTCTTACCCATCCTTGACCCATTAGAAAGTTTTACAAGGTATAAAGTAATATTATGATAAAGCTTATGAAGAAAACTCTTGAACCAAGGGTTTTAAACCTATTAATACAAGGACCTAGCCACCCCAGTAAGTGCACTCACCAAAGAGCTACACAAATACGGAACTCCCCTCAGGAGAGGTACAGCATTTTCCCCAGACACAGGTCATACACTACAGTTCACACAATTTTGTTGGAAGAACCATTGCATTGTCTCTGCTGTCAAAACATGGCACTCCAGAAACTTCCTATCTGACATTCTAGCAGAGCAAACAGTTGATTTAGCACAGGAGTGGGTGGCGTGGGATGCTCATGGGGTTACTCGCTAATCTGTAGGTTACACATTACCCTGACTCTCCTTCTCTCCCCACCTTCCTGACATCGCACTGCTTGTTAGCAGCCTGACCTATAGCAAATATCTTCTAACATAAGTCTACATATGAGGTCACATTGTGGTCCAGACCACCACGCACACTGCCCCAGAGTCATGCTCTAACCACTGTGGTCACAGGAGGGCGGTTCCTAGCAGTGGTCCTATCACAAGGGTGGGTCATCACATCTGAGGGGCATGGATGAAAGCCACCTAAGCCAGGTTTGTCGGGTGTTTTCTGAGGGGAGTGGCATCTACTTATAAAACCAAGAAATGCTTAGTGAAATAGACAGTGGCTTAGCTAAAGAAATGGCATGTATGAGCCGGGAGGTGGGGGCACATGCCTTTAATCCCAGCACTCAAGAGGCAGACGCAGGCGGATCTCTGTGAGTTCAGGAGTTCAGAGTTCTGAGGCCAGCCTGGTCTACAGAGCAAGCTCCAGGACAGGCTCCAAAGCTACACAGAGAAAACTTGTCTCAAAAAATCAAAAAGCAAGCAAGAAAAAAGAAATGGCATGTATGAAAGAGGGGAGATCACGGGAGGAATGGGAATCACGGAGCAGCTAGAACCACAAAGGACAGCTGGAGATGAAGGCAATTTCAACATAAGGTCAACAGCCACCAGCGAAGGACTTACCCCAGGAAATGCATGGTCAGGTTTTTGACTTTATGGCCAGTGTGGAGATTAGAAGGGATAAAGATGAAGGAGAAGTTCTTAATTGTTTAGTTGGTTGATTTTGTTTGTTTGTTTTGTTTTGAGACAGGGCCTCTCAATATAGCCCTGGCTGTCCTGTAACTCACAATGTAGACCATGCTGGCCGCCAGCTCTGCTCCCAGAGTGCTGGGATTAAAGGTGTGAGCCACCATGCACAGTCCAACGACATCTTCTTAAGATGTGGCAATATTCCAGGAAAGATGACAGACTAAACATGAAACAGAGATGACGAACTACAGAGAAATGCACGGACTTACAGAGAGAGGCACGGCAGGAGACAGAGTGGACGGGGAGCCGCTTTAAAGACCGCCTCCACTGCACCCTGCTCCACTTCCTCATCAGAGCAGATGCTTCCCATCCCATGACGGGAAGATCAGGATAATATTTAATTTTCTAGCTTAAAAGTCACCAAATGGCTGGGTGGTGGCGCATGCCTTTAATCCCAGCACTCGGGGGGTAGGGGCAGTCGGATCTCTGTGAGTTCAAGGCCAGCCTGGTCCACAGAGCGAGTTTCACAACAGCCAGGACTGTTATATAAAGAAACCTTATCTTGGAAAGAAAAAAAAACAAAACACCAATTTGAAAAGAGTAAACAGTGCTGCTCACCGAGATTATAAAAGTGGGGAATGAGCTCATCTCAGATACACTAGATCTGGAGTACCTGCAGGTCCCCTAGACAAGAGGAAATCTCTATAAGGGAACAGGATAGGAGTGGCCTGGAAGACCAGAAGTATTTACCTAAATTAGACATGAAGACTTAGGACCCCGAGCATGTAGACACCGAGCTTTAAGGGGCAGGCAGAGACCAAAGAGCAAGCGAGTCACATTAAGAGCCAGTTTCCATAATCACCCCAAGGAGCACCACAGTTTAAAGCACAGACAGATGAGACGACAGAACACACAGTGCGGAAGTGATCGGGGAGAGTAGGAACCAAGAAAACAGGTTCTGAAGAGGGGTCATCAATTGTATTAAAATTTGCTACCAGCTGAGCTGGGGAGGTAGCTAGGTTAGTAAAGGTGCCTTCTCAGCATGAGGACCTGAGTCCAGAGCCTGGGGTCCACATCAAAAGCTGTGCACCTGTAATAAAGGTGGCTCTGTGCACCTGAAATCCCAGTGCTATGACAGTGGGAACAGGAGGGTCCCTGGGGGTTGCTGGCCACTCAGTCCAGTCTATGAGTGACCTTCAGCGTCAGTGAAAGACCCCATCTCAAAGCAGAAGGTAGAGGGGCTGGAGAGGTGGTCAGCCATTAAAAGCACTTCCTGCTCTTCCAGCTGACCTGAGGTTGGTTCTCTGAAACTGTATCAGAGGGCTTAGAACTGCCAGCGCCAGGGGACACAAGCTTTCTTCTGGCTTCCTCGGGCATCCACACACATGTAGCACACTTTCTCACAGACAGACACATCTTTTTTAAAAGAAAAGCAAAAAAGTGGGAAAGTGATGGAGAACACCTGATATCCACAATGGGCACACTAACGTGTGTAAACACTACCCTACAAGAGCTCCCCCAACCACAAGCATGGATGAGTATACACATGCGCACAAATCTGCTAAGAGTTAATTGTCAAATAAGACAGTGCCTAAAGAAACGCCCCCTGGCAGCAAGCCACCAAGTTCTCTGTGCATTTAAAGGAGCCCCAGGGGCAGGGATGGCGGCGCTGGGACTGAGGGTGGACAGTGGGCTAAAGCAGGGAGTGAGAGAGTTCTGATAATGTGTCCCCTTTGTAGTTATCATCAAGGGTACCTGCACTCATGGTAGGAGGCAAAGCCAGTTGGGGAAGTTGAGTGAGAAATAGCTGAAAAACTCAGAGACATTTATTTTTTTAATGTATTTATTATGATTGTGCATGAGACGGTGAGTGTGGAAAGGCCTGTGGAGGCCAGAGGGTACCTTTTGGAGTCAGTTCTCTCCTCCCTCACTGGGTTCCAGGTACTGAACTCAGCTCAGCAGGCTGCTAGAGCAAGTACACTGAGCCATGGCGTGGGCTCTCTTCAGACATTTTATTTAATAGGTACTTTCAGCCCTCCTCGCCCCCCACAAGTACCCTTACTGGGCAAAGTCTGGCCACTGAGAAGAGGGTGGAAGACCACAACTCTGTACGGATATTTCTGCAGAGGTGTTATTTCCTTCAACAGCCTAGAGCACCCTTTTTACTGATGTACCTGAAGGACAAAAGGATAAGAAATGTAAGTTGCTTCAAGGAATTTGGAATCTAGTTTGGACAACAAAGAAACATATCCAGTGTGGTGTGCAACCTTACAATCCCAAACTCGGGACAGAGGAGTAAAGACCCTGTGCCCCAAACAAAGAGTTCCGGGCATAGCTCTGCAGTAGAATACCCATTTAGCATGCAAAGGCCCTGGGCTCAACCCCAACACCACACACACACAGCAGACATGGTCAAGAAATGGGATGGAGGGCCAGGGTACACAATCATGTGTGCTACCTGACGTAATGATGACCATGGAGGATGGAGAACTGGAAAACCTAACTTGTATGCTACACTTGGGCACCTCCACGCCTGTCTCGCCTTCTTCCTGCCTGCCCTCCCTCTATCTCACCATGCTCCCGGCCTCATATTGGCCCATCTCTTCATTCCACACTGGCA